ATACCCTTATTCACATAATTTACATTTTGCTTCTTAACATATTTCACAATGATTTGGACATAGAAATTAACAATTATGACATCCGTCTAATTAATTATCATTTAAATCATCACAATCTTCTTAATGAACTATAATTCCATCGCCACAAATAGGATAACATTAATAATCAAATTCATAATATCCATATTCACATTAATCATAACATATACCTTTAATACATAATTTACAATATTATCTACATTAATAATTACAATTATAACAACCATCATATGGTATTTGATTCATATCATCACATTATTCATATCCAATAGTAATTAATCCATCTCCACAAATAGGAATACAATATTAATCAATTAATGTAAATGTATATTCACAATTATAACAATATCCATAAATACATATATTACAATAATGACAACATTCAATTTTACATTAATAACATCCATCAAATTAATCATAATTAGAATCTTCACATTCTTCATTTGATATTAAAGCAATTAAATTATCTCCACATTAAGATTCACAAATAAATTAATCAGTTAAATACCAACCATAAATACAATCTAAACATATTCCTCTTTAACAATATGAACATTCTTTTTAACAATCATTTCTACAATTATTACATCCATCAAATCTAATTGAATTCATATCATCACATTCTTCTAAACCTTAAATTGAATTATTTCCACAAATAGATTCACATTAATAATTTATTAATTTCCATCCTTATATACAATCATAACATTTTCCAAATTAACAATTTATACATTAATGTTAACAATTAAATTCACATTAATTACATCCAAATGATTATTTAATATATTAATTAATATCACATTATTCATCTCCATTAATAATAAGATCTCCACAAATAGGAATACAAATATATTATGTATTATCTAATATCCATCCATTTAAACATTCAAAACAAATACCATCAATACAATTTGAACATCCTTCAACACAAGAATATTAACAATTAAAACATCCATCAAAAGCATAAATATTACCATCATCACATTATTCATTTTATTCTAATACTCCATTACCACAATCTTGCGAATCTTTTTTTAAAATAATATAATACATGTAAATATCTAAAAGTCTCTAATTCCAAAAGATTCATTTATATTTCCTTCATCAAGTGATGTGGAAAAAGTTATAATAAGGTTGGGGTTTTTATGATGCATTATTATTTCTTAATTTGGAAGGTAATCATCATAGCCTTCACCGCAATAATTGCATAACCAACCTGCATCAAAATAATGAGATTTTTGAAATATTAAAATGCCATCAATTTTACAGTAAAGATTTTCATTATCCCAAGAATCTATATAGGCAAACCTAAATCTAATTTTAATCAAATAATGCTGAGGCATATTAATAGTAGTAGTAATTATTGAAGACTAACCACTTTTAGCATATCCACCAAATATAGGAATGTCTATCTAGAACTAAAAATGTTACTAGAGCAAACTGTAGTATCTTATATTCCATTTATTATTGACCATCCATCTATTTAAAAGGAGGACAATTAATCTGATAGAAATGCTGAATTGACGAGATTCCATTGCTTGCATTCCATATATGAATCATTTTCAGAACAAGATTGACATCCAAGAGGACACAAATCAAGATAGAGTTTAAAATCTCTAAAACCCCAAGATTCCTCTCATAATTTTATTGAATTACATCACTTGGATGAGAATCAAGATTTGTTGTTATTAGGATTATTACTGACTAAAACACATGAGGCTATGTAATCGTTAAATTGAATATTTCATCAGCCCATACTCCACCACATATTTATACACCTGTTTAACCATATTAAACACTATGACTTAAAGTACCATCTAAGTATATGTAGAGAAATTCGCCATCCCAAGAGTCTATTCTACATACAATAAAGTAAAATACTTCCAGAATTACATTGTTATATATATCGTATAATGAGGAGGCAACAAGAGTAGTTTCATAGCTTTAGCTTGATTTCCAAAGGCATCGTATCCTCCGAGAATTCTTTTTCCAGCGCAATCAGAATATACACTATAAGCATTTGAAATAGTCCAATCTAAAATAAAAATATTTTTCAATACCTTCACTTGTTACAAATGAAGGATCTGTAAATGCTTCATAGTATAGAGTCATTTGCAATGAAAGTATGGGAAACAAAATTAAGGAAAAAAGCATGAAGATGTAATCTAATTAAAAATTTTAAATTAGTCTCATTAATCATCATAATTAAGCTTCATTATCTTAATTTATAATAATTAAGAATTATTGATTTATTCCATACTTTAATCCATAACTATTTTCTAAAGCTTTTTCTCATAATAAATGTGTGTATTTTTATTATTCCTATTAGTTGAGTTCTAATTATAATTTTTAATTAAATTTAATAGTTAAAGTTGATTTAAAAAATATTGAGAGGGAATTTAAATAAAGTCATAAAACTTTTTTTAATTTTATTTTTTTGGTATTGGGTAATTTCAAAACAGCTTTAATCTAATTCCATTTAAGATTAAAAAAAAAATGAGTAAATTATCAGATAATAAATCATAAGACATTTATTGCATTAACTCTTAAATAGTTTTCCATTTAGCTCTATAAAAATATTTCTAATTCTAATTCAAATGCATGAAAAACAAATTTAAATAAATTTAGTTATATTCTTAATTAGATAAAATAATTTTATATAATCAAAAAAAAATTATTATATTAGCACTAATCTAAAAGTAATAATGTATCTATAATATATTAAAAAAGTTTAAAATAATTTGGTTTGATGATGAAGAATATTTTTATATAATGATAATATACATTTAATTTTTATTTGATTACTTTACATGTTCTCATGGAAATTTAACTTATCTCATAATTCTCCTTCAGTAAATATCTTTTTTTAATTAAAAGTTGTTGTAATTTAATAAAATAAAATAATAATATTTAGAAAATTGATCTTTATATAAAATTAATACCCATTTATTTTCCAAATTGTAGATCTTGATATAAATTCAATTATTGCTCAATTTAATAATCTTCTCTAAATAACTTTTTTTTATTATTGATTTAATTTAATAAAATAATATATGGATTTAAGAAATTTAGAATATTTTGACAATTAAATTGTGAAAAAAGTGTATTTATTATATTAGATTGCAACATGAGATTCATTTCTTTGATATTCTTCAATTTAATACTCTATTATGTTTCATCATAAACCCTTTTTTACGAAGCATTTTCTTCAATAACCCTAACATCAATGGAAGGTACATCAAACTATTTAAAAATAGATTGGATTACTACTAATGCTTATGGAAGTTTTTCAGATTGTGGTGGAACACAAATCTTTGGTGGTTTCAATACGTTTGGTATTGATACTAGAGTTATGAAATTCATTTAATTACCTCCTCATTTTGAAGTATAGATTAATATGAAATTTTGGAAGTCATAATTTTCATTTATTATTTAGAATAGATACATGGGACAACGAATATTTTAATATATATATTGATGGGATTTAAGCTTTTTCATAATAATATACTTCTATTACCAGTACCTCAATTTGTGGCAATATTTGGGGAGAAGAAATTTAATTAATAACCATATCAATCCCTCATGTATATTAATCAATTCTAATTCTTATGACCTCCTCACTTGATGAGGGTCCATCAAATGTAAAAGATACAACAAAAATAGGAATCTTGGGGATTTAGAGATTTTTAATTATATCTTAGTCTTTGTCCTTCTGATTGCTTAACTTGTACATCCGGGGATACTAAAAGGGATTGCATTTCATGGAACCTACTTAATTCTGCATTTTTAGAAATTAACTCATCTACTTTCTCTGAAGAGGGTTGGTAAATAATAAATGGAATTCAAGCTGTTAGTGATTGTAACAGTACTTTATTTATAATTTTGAATAAATTTAACATTTAATTAAGATCTAATTAATTATCATTTAAATCATCACAATCTTCTTAATGAACTATAATTCCATCGCCACAAATAGGATAACATTAATAATCAAATTCATAATATCCATATTCACATTAATCATAACATATACCTTTAATACATAATTTACAATATTATCTACATTAATAATTACAATTATAACAACCATCATATGGTATTTGATTCATATCATCACATTATTCATATCCAATAGTAATTAATCCATCTCCACAAATAGGAATACAATATTAATCAATTAATGTAAATGTATATTCACAATTATAACAATATCCATAAATACATATATTACAATAATGACAACATTCAATTTTACATTAATAACATCCATCAAATTAATCATAATTAGAATCTTCACATTCTTCATTTGATATTAAAGCAATTAAATTATCTCCACATTAAGATTCACAAATAAATTAATCAGTTAAATACCAACCATAAATACAATCTAAACATATTCCTCTTTAACAATATGAACATTCTTTTTAACAATCATTTCTACAATTATTACATCCATCAAATCTAATTGAATTCATATCATCACATTCTTCTAAACCTTAAATTGAATTATTTCCACAAATAGATTCACATTAATAATTTATTAATTTCCATCCTTATATACAATCATAACATTTTCCAAATTAACAATTTATACATTAATGTTAACAATTAAATTCACATTAATTACATCCAAATGATTATTTAATATATTAATTAATATCACATTATTCATCTCCATTAATAATAAGATCTCCACAAATAGGAATACAAATATATTATGTATTATCTAATATCCATCCATTTAAACATTCAAAACAAATACCATCAATACAATTTGAACATCCTTCAACACAAGAATATTAACAATTAAAACATCCATCAAAAGCATAAATATTACCATCATCACATTATTCATTTTATTCTAATACTCCATTACCACAATCTTGCGAATCTTTTTTTAAAATAATATAATACATGTAAATATCTAAAAGTCTCTAATTCCAAAAGATTCATTTATATTTCCTTCATCAAGTGATGTGGAAAAAGTTATAATAAGGTTGGGGTTTTTATGATGCATTATTATTTCTTAATTTGGAAGGTAATCATCATAGCCTTCACCGCAATAATTGCATAACCAACCTGCATCAAAATAATGAGATTTTTGAAATATTAAAATGCCATCAATTTTACAGTAAAGATTTTCATTATCCCAAGAATCTATATAGGCAAACCTAAATCTAATTTTAATCAAATAATGCTGAGGCATATTAATAGTAGTAGTAATTATTGAAGACTAACCACTTTTAGCATATCCACCAAATATAGGAATGTCTATCTAGAACTAAAAATGTTACTAGAGCAAACTGTAGTATCTTATATTCCATTTATTATTGACCATCCATCTATTTAAAAGGAGGACAATTAATCTGATAGAAATGCTGAATTGACGAGATTCCATTGCTTGCATTCCATATATGAATCATTTTCAGAACAAGATTGACATCCAAGAGGACACAAATCAAGATAGAGTTTAAAATCTCTAAAACCCCAAGATTCCTCTCATAATTTTATTGAATTACATCACTTGGATGAGAATCAAGATTTGTTGTTATTAGGATTATTACTGACTAAAACACATGAGGCTATGTAATCGTTAAATTGAATATTTCATCAGCCCATACTCCACCACATATTTATACACCTGTTTAACCATATTAAACACTATGACTTAAAGTACCATCTAAGTATATGTAGAGAAATTCGCCATCCCAAGAGTCTATTCTACATACAATAAAGTAAAATACTTCCAGAATTACATTGTTATATATATCGTATAATGAGGAGGCAACAAGAGTAGTTTCATAGCTTTAGCTTGATTTCCAAAGGCATCGTATCCTCCGAGAATTCTTTTTCCAGCGCAATCAGAATATACACTATAAGCATTTGAAATAGTCCAATCTAAAATAAAAATATTTTTCAATACCTTCACTTGTTACAAATGAAGGATCTGTAAATGCTTCATAGTATAGAGTCATTTGCAATGAAAGTATGGGAAACAAAATTAAGGAAAAAAGCATGAAGATGTAATCTAATTAAAAATTTTAAATTAGTCTCATTAATCATCATAATTAAGCTTCATTATCTTAATTTATAATAATTAAGAATTATTGATTTATTCCATACTTTAATCCATAACTATTTTCTAAAGCTTTTTCTCATAATAAATGTGTGTATTTTTATTATTCCTATTAGTTGAGTTCTAATTATAATTTTTAATTAAATTTAATAGTTAAAGTTGATTTAAAAAATATTGAGAGGGAATTTAAATAAAGTCATAAAACTTTTTTTAATTTTATTTTTTTGGTATTGGGTAATTTCAAAACAGCTTTAATCTAATTCCATTTAAGATTAAAAAAAAAATGAGTAAATTATCAGATAATAAATCATAAGACATTTATTGCATTAACTCTTAAATAGTTTTCCATTTAGCTCTATAAAAATATTTCTAATTCTAATTCAAATGCATGAAAAACAAATTTAAATAAATTTAGTTATATTCTTAATTAGATAAAATAATTTTATATAATCAAAAAAAAATTATTATATTAGCACTAATCTAAAAGTAATAATGTATCTATAATATATTAAAAAAGTTTAAAATAATTTGGTTTGATGATGAAGAATATTTTTATATAATGATAATATACATTTAATTTTTATTTGATTACTTTACATGTTCTCATGGAAATTTAACTTATCTCATAATTCTCCTTCAGTAAATATCTTTTTTTAATTAAAAGTTGTTGTAATTTAATAAAATAAAATAATAATATTTAGAAAATTGATCTTTATATAAAATTAATACCCATTTATTTTCCAAATTGTAGATCTTGATATAAATTCAATTATTGCTCAATTTAATAATCTTCTCTAAATAACTTTTTTTTATTATTGATTTAATTTAATAAAATAATATATGGATTTAAGAAATTTAGAATATTTTGACAATTAAATTGTGAAAAAAGTGTATTTATTATATTAGATTGCAACATGAGATTCATTTCTTTGATATTCTTCAATTTAATACTCTATTATGTTTCATCATAAACCCTTTTTTACGAAGCATTTTCTTCAATAACCCTAACATCAATGGAAGGTACATCAAACTATTTAAAAATAGATTGGATTACTACTAATGCTTATGGAAGTTTTTCAGATTGTGGTGGAACACAAATCTTTGGTGGTTTCAATACGTTTGGTATTGATACTAGAGTTATGAAATTCATTTAATTACCTCCTCATTTTGAAGTATAGATTAATATGAAATTTTGGAAGTCATAATTTTCATTTATTATTTAGAATAGATACATGGGACAACGAATATTTTAATATATATATTGATGGGATTTAAGCTTTTTCATAATAATATACTTCTATTACCAGTACCTCAATTTGTGGCAATATTTGGGGAGAAGAAATTTAATTAATAACCATATCAATCCCTCATGTATATTAATCAATTCTAATTCTTATGACCTCCTCACTTGATGAGGGTCCATCAAATGTAAAAGATACAACAAAAATAGGAATCTTGGGGATTTAGAGATTTTTAATTATATCTTAGTCTTTGTCCTTCTGATTGCTTAACTTGTACATCCGGGGATACTAAAAGGGATTGCATTTCATGGAACCTACTTAATTCTGCATTTTTAGAAATTAACTCATCTACTTTCTCTGAAGAGGGTTGGTAAATAATAAATGGAATTCAAGCTGTTAGTGATTGTAACAGTACTTTATTTATAATTTTGAATAAATTTAACATTTAATTAAGAATACCCTTATTCACATAATTTACATTTTGCTTCTTAACATATTTCACAATGATTTGGACATAGAAATTAACAATTATGACATCCGTCTAATTAATTATCATTTAAATCATCACAATCTTCTTAATGAACTATAATTCCATCGCCACAAATAGGATAACATTAATAATCAAATTCATAATATCCATATTCACATTAATCATAACATATACCTTTAATACATAATTTACAATATTATCTACATTAATAATTACAATTATAACAACCATCATATGGTATTTGATTCATATCATCACATTATTCATATCCAATAGTAATTAATCCATCTCCACAAATAGGAATACAATATTAATCAATTAATGTAAATGTATATTCACAATTATAACAATATCCATAAATACATATATTACAATAATGACAACATTCAATTTTACATTAATAACATCCATCAAATTAATCATAATTAGAATCTTCACATTCTTCATTTGATATTAAAGCAATTAAATTATCTCCACATTAAGATTCACAAATAAATTAATCAGTTAAATACCAACCATAAATACAATCTAAACATATTCCTCTTTAACAATATGAACATTCTTTTTAACAATCATTTCTACAATTATTACATCCATCAAATCTAATTGAATTCATATCATCACATTCTTCTAAACCTTAAATTGAATTATTTCCACAAATAGATTCACATTAATAATTTATTAATTTCCATCCTTATATACAATCATAACATTTTCCAAATTAACAATTTATACATTAATGTTAACAATTAAATTCACATTAATTACATCCAAATGATTATTTAATATATTAATTAATATCACATTATTCATCTCCATTAATAATAAGATCTCCACAAATAGGAATACAAATATATTATGTATTATCTAATATCCATCCATTTAAACATTCAAAACAAATACCATCAATACAATTTGAACATCCTTCAACACAAGAATATTAACAATTAAAACATCCATCAAAAGCATAAATATTACCATCATCACATTATTCATTTTATTCTAATACTCCATTTCCACAATTTTCTAAAATTCTTGAGAATATTTGAAAATCTCTTAAGCCAAATGATTCAGTAGTTGGAAGTTCATTTAAATTAGTCGTAAAATCAAATCTTATTATTGGATTTGAATGATCTATTTTTACTTCAAAGTTTGGAAAGTAATCATCATTTGTCAATCCGCAAATGTCTACTAAATCCCCTAAATAAAAAAAATGCTGATGAGAAAAAACTAAATTTCCATCTATGTAAAGATAAAAGTATTCATTATCCCAAGTATCTATGAAAGCTATACGAAATCTAATGATAAGTTATTAATGATTAGATAAATTTAATGTTTTAGAGATTCTACTATTATATCCACATTTTTCAAAACCACAAATTAAAGGTATGCCTATTAATATCTTAATTTTTATATGGTTTGATTGAATAAATAAATATTTGTAAATTATATTGTGGAAATGGTATGATTTCATTGGATGAAGAGGAATGTGATGATAATAATAATGAAGATGGAGATGGATGTTCAAGGTTTTGTAAGATTGAAACAGATTATCAATGTAAAAATTATGAATTCAGTTTCTCATAATGTACTTATTCTAAATAACCAAGATTTTATCTTTAATTTAAAGAAGAAAGAGATTAAAAATAATATGTTTCATTGTTATTCACTTAATAAGTTAAGAATAAAATTTAAGATTAATATTCTAAATATATATAAATGAATATTATTGATATGGACATTAATATTTATAAATTGAATTTGATAATAATTTAAGAACCTGTTGATTATCCTACAATTGTTGAATATCTTATAGAAATTTAAATTAATTCTACTTTAAATGATCGTCCTTATTTAGAGGTTACTTTAGATGAATAACTGTATAATTCAGAAGATGCTACTCTTTTTAATTTATATGATAAAATATAATTGAAATAACCTAAGTATATTGATGATTAAAAATAAGAAGCAGCTGCTACTTTAAATCAGGCAAATAAATATTTGATGAATTCTATTGGAGGAATTGGCATATTTGCATTCTTTTTAGGAAATTCATTTATATTTTCAAGTATACTAGAAGTATTACAATAATAATCTTATTTAAGATTTATTAATGTACAATTTCCTTTTAATTTATTTATATATTTTGAATCAAGTAATATAATAACTATATAACCTATTTTAAAATTCTTTAAAGTTGATTCCATTGCAACATTAACATTTGATTCAACATATATAGAATCATATGAAAAGTTGAAATATTATGAAATTAATGCTGATCTTTTAACTAATATTTAAACTTAAGTTTTTCTCATTACAGCATTGATTATCATTTATTATTCTTGTACCTTAATCATTTTTTTGATTGACTCAATTATAATCCAATTTTTATTTCTAATTGGTAAATTAGGATATAAATTACTATTTAAAATAAGAAAATTATGTAGTAATTATTAAAAGGAATTCAGAAAGGAAGGTGTTAAGGCATTTTTAATAGCAAATTGTTGGGATCTTCTTTTTACTTGTTTTTTGTAATTAAAATCTTCACAATATAATACAACAATTAGATCTATAATTTGTTTAATCTTAGCATATTTAATATTATATGGATGTATATTAATACTTAGATAATTTATTTACAAAAATTAATTAATTAAATATAGCTTATTTAATTATTGGATTTCAAAAATGGATCTATTTTTAACATTAAAAAAATTGATATTCATTTTCATTTTAGTATGTTTCTAAAAAAATGAATAAATATAAACAATCTTATTAACATTTGTTTGTAATTTATATCTTAGTTATGCAATTAAATTTAAACCAGTCAAAAATCAATAAGACTTTTGTAATTTAATTATGATGGAAGGAAGTACTTTTATTTTTACCTTAACATCTGCTATGTATTGGAGCACTTTTAAAAAAATAATGAGCAATGATAGTTAGATATTTCTTGGTTGGTTTCATATTTTTATGCTACTTATAGTTTTATTAGTAAATTTAATGATTCAAATATATGCCATCTTTCATACTTTAATAAATAAAATTTGTGCAAATGTTTGTAAAAAATAAAATAAAAGATTAATCTAAGCAAATCCATATCCTTTATTAAGTGTAATCAAATTCAAGCCTTGAATTATTTAAGTAATAAATTATTATTTTTAATATCAATTTATTTAATATTATATAAGAAATTTTTTAGCAAATATAATTAAAGATCATCCAACGATTATTTAGTCTTTGGCAAATTTAACACATTGAAAAAGAATGATGTTATTCTATCGCTAAAATTTACATATATATCCAATCTCATATCAATTGTATTAGATAATTATTATTGGTAATAGGTTAGTTTTTCTATTTATTTAACCCTTATTTACATTTTTATTTCTACAATATATAATAATTTATATAATGAATAATTAATCATTAGCAAAAAGTGCTGTGGAGCGATTAAACTAAAGTAATTTCTAAGCCTCAAAACCTTATGAGTTTGAGAATAAATATTAATAAGATCAGAAAGAATTACCAAATCCTACAAAATTTGATTTAGATGTTATGCTTAAATTTTTGGATGAAGTTGATTCAAGTGTCAAATAGACTCATGAATATAAGAGCATTATTCAAAAGTACAAATTATCAACATCTAAATTTTGTTTAACTATGGAGTATAGATTTGTATTAATATAATAGAAATGATTACCTTAATAATTTACCAAATGAAAAGAAAGTCTAAATATATAGAGATGTACAGTATTAATTAAATTAAAGAGATTTCACGTATATATGATCATCAAGAAGAAGCAATTGAATTGAAGGATAAAGTACGGAAAATTATTACATATAAATTAGAAGATATGAGAAGAAATACAGTAATTAATAATTTAATATTATAAGCGAGAATCTAAATGGGGTTTAACATTGAATTTATTACAATTATTGTTAAATAAAAATAAGGGTAATAGAGACATTTTTGATTTATTTTAAAAGAAACTATTGCCACCTGATGTAAGGTAGTTAGTGTGGAAGATGTGTCTAGAAAATAAATAAATAAGTGATGAATATAGTCGTCTATTAGGGAAGGCAAGAATGTTAACAATGTCAAGATTTGATGTTTAAATTATAAAAGACACAGAATAAATAGTTAAATAAATGACAAAACCAGATTNCTATGTATTGGAGCACTTTTAAAAAAATAATGAGCAATGATAGTTAGATATTTCTTGGTTGGTTTCATATTTTTATGCTACTTATAGTTTTATTAGTAAATTTAATGATTCAAATATATGCCATCTTTCATACTTTAATAAATAAAATTTGTGCAAATGTTTGTAAAAAATAAAATAAAAGATTAATCTAAGCAAATCCATATCCTTTATTAAGTGTAATCAAATTCAAGCCTTGAATTATTTAAGTAATAAATTATTATTTTTAATATCAATTTATTTAATATTATATAAGAAATTTTTTAGCAAATATAATTAAAGATCATCCAACGATTATTTAGTCTTTGGCAAATTTAACACATTGAAAAAGAATGATGTTATTCTATCGCTAAAATTTACATATATATCCAATCTCATATCAATTGTATTAGATAATTATTATTGGTAATAGGTTAGTTTTTCTATTTATTTAACCCTTATTTACATTTTTATTTCTACAATATATAATAATTTATATAATGAATAATTAATCATTAGCAAAAAGTGCTGTGGAGCGATTAAACTAAAGTAATTTCTAAGCCTCAAAACCTTATGAGTTTGAGAATAAATATTAATAAGATCAGAAAGAATTACCAAATCCTACAAAATTTGATTTAGATGTTATGCTTAAATTTTTGGATGAAGTTGATTCAAGTGTCAAATAGACTCATGAATATAAGAGCATTATTCAAAAGTACAAATTATCAACATCTAAATTTTGTTTAACTATGGAGTATAGATTTGTATTAATATAATAGAAATGATTACCTTAATAATTTACCAAATGAAAAGAAAGTCTAAATATATAGAGATGTACAGTATTAATTAAATTAAAGAGATTTCACGTATATATGATCATCAAGAAGAAGCAATTGAATTGAAGGATAAAGTACGGAAAATTATTACATATAAATTAGAAGATATGAGAAGAAATACAGTAATTAATAATTTAATATTATAAGCGAGAATCTAAATGGGGTTTAACATTGAATTTATTACAATTATTGTTAAATAAAAATAAGGGTAATAGAGACATTTTTGATTTATTTTAAAAGAAACTATTGCCACCTGATGTAAGGTAGTTAGTGTGGAAGATGTGTCTAGAAAATAAATAAATAAGTGATGAATATAGTCGTCTATTAGGGAAGGCAAGAATGTTAACAATGTCAAGATTTGATGTTTAAATTATAAAAGACACAGAATAAATAGTTAAATAAATGACAAAACCAGATTAATTTGATGGAAATATGATTTTTGCAATGAAAACAATTTTGAGTTACTATGAATTAAAATAAGATAGAATTCTTACAGATTATTTATACTTAATATGTATACCACTTGTTTATGTATTTGGAACAAGTAAACATTTATTAAAAATACCAACTGAATTAATTGGATATTTTTATTCATTATAATTATTAGTTCAATTCTTTGATCCATTAGTTGATTTGATTGTTAGACATGATGAAAAGTATGAATCAGAAATGACAGATTTATTTATGAATAGTGTTAATGTGTTAGATGAAGAACTAGCATTAAAATTTCAAAGTGTTCTTAATTTAAAGAGTCCAACTTAAAGATAAATGTTAGTAATAATTATAAAGAGATTTGTACATTCTCTTGGATTTGCATTTTTACCCTTAGATATAACCTTGTTTAATATAGATTAAATGGTAATGAAGATAGTCAAAAATAAATTAGAGATATTTATTAATATGGGAATAATGTGCTTTTGTATAAGAAAGGATATCTTAGCTTGTAAGACTTGGGATTAAGTTGTTGATGTATTTTATACAAAGGCAAAATTGATTACTTTACAATAGTATCATGAATATTATTAGGATGTATATAAGAATGTGAAATTTTATGTGTCACCCTATGATGTTGATCCATTTAAAGTAAATAGAAATGCTGAATTTGCAACAGGTATGTAATTTAATTTAATTTTAATCAGACCCTTTAGCAGAAATTATTGAAAAATAATAAGACAAAGATATTAATGCATTTAAGAAGAAATGGTTTGAAGGGAAGGAATTGTATGAAGAAGATGATCCTAATGTAGCTAAATATTAATAATAATAATAATTACCAAATAAGGATAAAGCAATAAAGGATATGAAAATGTAAGATGCAATGAAAAATGTGTAAATGCAATAGAAACCAACATAAAAATTAGGAATGGTACCTGTTTAAGATTCAGATGAAGAAGAAGACTTATTTGATGGAATGGATGATTAATGATTCATAATAAGTCATTTGTTTTCTTTTTTAAATTATAAGGAAGCAGAATTAATACAATATCTGATTCCTCCTTATTCAGCTGGACCATCATCAAATTTGTGTCCTAAATGAGCATTACATTTTTGACATCGAACCTCAATTCTGATCATTCCATGACTTTAATCACTATAAAATAATTTTAAGAATATACTTGATCTCTTTAATCTTTTTTGAGTCATAAGAACCCCAAAAAGCAGGCCAACCACATCCAGAGTTATATTTATGTTAAGATCCAAATAATTTATCTCCACAAACAATACAAAAGTATTCTCCAGGATCTTTTGTTTTGTAATATTCATTCTTGAAAGGTGGTTCAGTATCTACATAATTAATTGATATTTTACCTGCTTCTTAGGTAACTCTGTATTATATGTCACTAAGTCTTTATTTGAGTTCTTATTTAGAGAAGGTAACAAAAGGTTATTACATTAATTTATGTAATATTGCACGCATAAGTTTTTAATTTTAAAAGTTTTTAAATCTTGAATAAATGACTCATAGTTACGGATTGAAGAAGGGAACAAGAAGCAAATTTGCCAAGCCATTTAGAGGTCACGGTAATATAAGTATTCGTAAAACACTCTAAACATTCAAAAGAGGTTACTATCATTCTTAATAATAGGTGACTTTGTTGACATCTTAGTTGATGGAGCATAACACAAAGGAGTACCCTTCTAGTATTATCATGGAAGAACTGCAAGAGTCTTCAATGTAAATCCTAGAGGAATAGGTGTTTCATTACAAAGAAGAGTCAGAGGCAGATATGTAGAGAAAAGATTTCATGTGAGAGCTGATCACTTGAGACCATCAAAATGCAGAGAAGAATTTGTCAAAAGAGTTTAAGAAAATGATAAAAAGAAGACAGAAGCTAATAAAAAGAAATAACATATATCCACCAAAAGATAACCTGTTTTACCAAGAGGTGCAGAAATTGTTAAACCTGTTGCAACAGTATTCCAACATCCTAAGGCATTTGTTGAAATTATCTGACAAAAATGCATAAATTATAGTATATTATAAATTAGAATTTAATAATATTTATTATATTATATTAAAAGTTCAATTGTAGATCATCTTATCTTATCATATTCATTCTTTATTAGTTAAATATTAATCATGAATGATATTTGGATAATTGAATCATATCGATTAATCTTAATAATTAAAGTGTTAATAAACAAATTGATTAATATTTATAAAGCTTTATTATTATTGAATTTCCTTTTATCTCTATAATAAGACATTTTAATTATATAGAATATTATTATGAATATCATTAATTTATCTAAATTTATTAAGAAATATATATATGAAGATTTTAGTATTACATAAATTTATGAATTTTAATATTTAATAATAGATTAGGAATAATAAATATTAGGAGATAAGATAATAGATGTATTTGTAAATTTGATTAATAATATATGATATAAAATTTAATAAATAAATATAAATGTCAGGATTATTTAAAAATTATTCTAAGTTTGTGAGTGCTTCAGTATTTGCAAGTGCTAACAAATTAATAATAAACCCAGTAAGATGGACTTTTAATTCTGCAAACCTCTTTTACAATCCTTCTTATAGATATACTGGATTACCATAAGGTAATATAAATCATTTTGATATTAGGACATGAATTAACAGCATTCTCTTTAGCTTAAATAGCAAGTGCTTTGACTTATGAAGCTTAACAATTTAATACAGTAGATGCTTTAAAGGATGAAGCATAATTGAATTATCAATTTTCAGCTCAATGTGTTAGAGAGGCAATTAAATTCATAAAAAATAACAATTGGGATTAAGAAGTAGAAACAAGTGCTCAATTATTGTATGTGATTTAAAATAATGGCTTATTAAAAGATGTGAACAAAGAAATCTTATTGTCAAACTTATCATAAAATGCTAAGTATTTATCTACTTAGAATATTGTGGATGTTGTAATTAGTTTGTAAGACCATAAAGATGCTGGATTTTGGTCATAATTTTTCAGTGGTATCAAGAATAAGGAATTTAGTTGGGAATTACAGCCAATTGATTATCATGGTTGGGATACAATGTAATTCGATTATTTGGATTAAGTTAAAAATTCATTCAAATTAAGTAATACATGGGCTGTGTTGACTGCTTAAGATTCCTAATTAAAACGCTTTGTTTTAGAAGGAGTGCTCTTTGGATACACAAACTTATGGCTTCCACTACTTTATAGAGAAAAGAGAATCAAATATGTATTTGATGACAGATTGATTGACAGAAGTGCATTTAAGAATGCCTTAAAGAAGATCAATGAAGTTCATAATGTACAAGAATTCCTTGGAAGAGCTTGATCCATCATAAATAAAAATATATATATATATATAATAATGTTTTCATAAATATTCATTCTATCTCCAAGAGGTGATACAATCATTAATCGAGATTTCAGATCTGATTTACCTAAATCTACTCCTGAAACATTCTTCAGATAAGCCAAAACCTACTCAGGAGATGCTAATCCTTTATTTAATGTAGATTGCATTCAATTTGCTCATATTAAAAGAGGAGGTTCAATTATTATATTTATATATATAGGATTATATATTGTAGGTACATCAAGATTTAATTTACAACCAGCTATGTCATTAGAATTATTGGATCGATTAGCCAAAGAGATCAAAGATTTTTGTGGAGTCATCAATGAAGAAGTCCTTAGAAAGAATTTCATACTAATATATGAAGTCAATAATATTATATTTATCATAGATTTTAGATGAATCATTTGATTTTGGATACCCTCAACTAATGGCTACAGAATAAATTAAACCACTTATTGTAAATGAGCCAATTTAGCCATAACCTGATTCAGTCATGAATTCTCTTAGACCTAAGATTCAAACATTTAATATATTTGTTCCAAATACTATGGGAAGTTAAGCAGTTTAACGATCGGTATTAAACAAAAATTAAGCAAATGAAATTTTTGTTGATATTTACGAAAAACTAAATGTTCTCTTTAATTCTAGTGCATATGTTATCAATTAGAGTATTGAAGGATGTGTATTCTATTTTAACAATATAATAGATTTAAATGACATCATTTTTATAAGGAAATCCACCTTTGAAATTAGCATTGAATGAGGATTTGCAAATAGGTAGATAATAAGGATAATATTCAGCAGGAGTCATCTTGGTATATATTAATTAATAATACTTTTAAGGATGATTGTAATTTCCATGAATGTGTTAATGCAAATGAATTAGATATGAATAAAACTTTACGTATTTAACCTCCTGATGGTTAATTTGTTGTTATGAATTATAGAATTAGTGGAGATTATGCTGCTCCTTTTAGATTGTTTCCTATTATTGAAGAAATTTCATCATCTAAAATAGAAGTTACTATAAAATTAAAAGCATGTTTTGATGCTAAAATAATTGCATCTTATGCTAATATTCGTATTCCAATTCCTAAATAAACTGCCAATGCATATCCTGAATTAGTTAAGAATGCTTAATAAGAGACTGCAGAATATGATTCAAATAAAAAGATAATAGAATGGTAGATTAAGAAACTTTGTGGTGGTTAAGAAAGATCTTTAAAAGTATTTAATTTTATATATTTTTTAGATAAAATTAACTCTATAGGCTACATAAACTGCTCATACAGCAAGAAAAGAGATTGGTCCTATTGCAATGAATTTTGAAATACCAATGTTTAATGTTAGCAGATTATAAATCAAATACTTAAGAATTGAAGAGAGAGGCAATACTACTAATCCTCATAGATGGGTGAGATATATAACATAGAGTAGTTCCTATGTATGTAGAATATGAAATTAAGTTTATATGCATAATCATATTTTCAAAATGTTTATAGTTTTTCAATAGATTTATGCAAGTATGAATTTATATTTTTTAATCGACTAATTTCCAGTTTTTAAGAATTTATTAAGTCTTATTATTTAGTGATCAAGTCTTCCCATTCTTTCATTTTCTTATGAAGGTCTTTCTATTCTTATAAATAATCTTATTAATCATCAAGAATTTATAATTATTATCTAATAACACTTTATTCTTAATAAATTTCATCTGGATTCTAAATAGTGTGTTATATATTTTAATCATTCAATCTATATTAATTGATAGAATTATTACAAATTTTGGAGTCTAATAATTTCTTAATCTTTTTTGAAGTTTTCATATTAAAATGTATTAAGTGCAGATTCATAGATTTTAATTTTATTTTCTAAAATTGATTCTCTTTCATTATTAGAAGGTTGGGTTTCTAAATCTAAGTCTTCTTCAATAACCATTTCTTCAAAAGAATTAAGTTCTTGTTGATTTTAAGAATTAGCAGAAAAACTAAATCTAGCCTCCTCTTAATTACTTTCTAATTGTTTAAGACTATGATTTATAAGATAGTTAATATTTTTAGAAGATTTAGACAATTCTTCATGCATATCAAGGAATCTAGAGTATATTTCACTTTATAAAACAGTTAATGATTAAGATCTATGTGAAAATTTCATTTCTTCCATATTTATATATAAATATAAAATTAAAATTAAATTAAAGTATAAGTACAAAAAGAGAGGATTTATATAGGTTCATTTGCTATGATTCTTCCTTTCAAAATTCTCTATCCAAGATTTATAGCTTTGTTACATATTTACAAAGTTAAAATGAACTTCTTCAATATTCTCAATTTCTGTAAATTAAGTTTATTTACTAAAATAGGTTGTTTAAGATTAAGGTGTTAATATGATAGGTTAGATTTTGGCTTATTGTGTATTATTAATAAGAGAAATATCTTCATCAGACTTTAATTGATGATAAAATGATTCTAAAACTGTGATTCTAGTTCTTCTAGCATAATGTTCTGATATATTAGTTTGCTTTCTAGTCTCATCTTATGAATGTTTGGGATTTTTTAACTTAATGCAAGGACTCTATCTAAATTAAAAAGGGAGGTTTTATATGTTGTGTATAATAAGCTAATCATCAACAGAGTTTTGTATTTTCATTTTAGGAGTGTGAATATTGGTTTCTACTCCTCTTCCTTTGAGAGTACTGGCACCTCTGAATTTTTTATTATGGAAATACTAGTAAACTTTTGTACTTCCACTCATTTTAATTAAATAATATTCATATATGCTACTCTAAGGAAATCATGTATGTAGAACTCATACGCTATGCAACAGAAGATTTGATTTCCATAAATAGTTTCTTAATCTTATTACAACCATTTAGTATTTTGTATTGACATCTTTTCATAACTTCTGAGGATGGTTACTTATTTTATCCATTAACTTTCTTGCTCTTCTTCATTTTTTATTTGGTTCTGAATTCAGCCCAGATGGCTTTGGCTGAAGAGTAATTGATACCAATAGAATGAGCAGCCTTGTTTCAAATTTGTATTTACAGCTTTAATAGTTTATTTTTCACTAACAACTGCTTTAAGAAACAAATCCTTAATTGATTAAGTAATCTTCAAATACTTCTTTTGTGCCAATCGAGGATCAAACTTTTTCATTTCTTTTTCTACCTACTATTTGATATCATCAAGCATTTTCATTTTTAAAAGAAATTAATAAACATATATATTTGATTTATGATTTCATATTAATGTAAATTTGATGTATGATTACATATTAATGTTAAGTAATAATATATTGAATTAATTGATATAAACAAAATGTAGTTAAAAAAATCATTATTAAAATCTACTAGCACCATATCTAACTTCTAATCTAAGATTGTCATCAACTGTCAATCCTGCACATACTTTTACTAGATTCTCAAGCATAGCTCTTTATCTTGATAAAGCATTTATAGTAGTAATTCCACTCTCAGATTTTGGAGCCTTCATCAAATAACTCAACCAAGACAATACTGTATCAAATCTTTAATATTCACAAGAATCCTTTGAGAATTTAATTCTTTCAAATAATTCACATAATAATAATAAATCCATAATTAATGGAGCAGCCAATAAGGAATCTTCACAAACATTGTAAACTGCAAATGTTTATCTACCTCCTAAAAAGATTTCAGCAATATATTCATCCATAGCCTTTTTACTATCTCCAGTTTCAGGACAATACTTAATAACAATAGTATGATCAATATTCAATTCTTCTTCTGTTGGATATAATACTTTATTAGATTCCAAAATATCATCAACACAAGTTTTCTTACTTCTTTCTTTGCTTTTGAAACATGATTCTTATGAAAGATTCTTTCCATCATTGTTTCCTAAATGATTATATGAAATGATGGCTTTTGGTTTAATACCAGCACCTACTAAATATTCAACTAAACAAGTCTTAAATTTAGTTTATCCTGTTTTGAAATCATCTCCAGCAACAAAAACACCTGCTTTTTCTGCTAATTCAATAACACCTGGAACAATAGTATTTTATGGTGATCCATTAATAAATGAACATCCTTCTAAACAAGCAGCACATGCAAAGATTGTTGATGCACTAATTTCTGGATGACTTGATTCAATAGATTTTAATAATTTTTCAGCTGTTCCATGAACATTTGGATCTTCAACACAAAATCTTTCTGTATTTGCTGTCCATAATAAAATTACTTTATCCAAATTATTTTATTATTTAAAATCTGCAATATTCTTTCTAATTATATTAAGATGTTCTAATTTATTATTTCCTGGTATAACATTATCTGCTCTATCACCTTAATTTGCTGCAATAAAATCTGGATAATAGATTGAAGGTAATGGTACTAACTTTTCTAAATATGGTCTTAATTTTTATTGTAAATCATATTCAACTACTTATGCTCTATTCATTGCATCAGCTAAATTCATTGAATTTATATCCCATCCACCAAATACTATATCACATGGATTAACCATAGGTAAAACATCTTTGAATGGAACAAATACTTCTTCAGTATTGCATGTACCAATCTTTATAACACTACTTTATGTGAGTGAACCATAGAAATTTGGTTAATGAGTTCCTCTTCTACTATTCCATGTAATATTGAATTTATTTGCCAATATACCACCAGTAAGTGTTGTACCATTATTACCACCCCATCCTACAAGCATTACACCTAATTTTGGAATTCTAGTATCAGTCTTAAATTTGAAATTTGTTATTTATGGTTTTGCTATATACTTGTCTCCATTCTTTTCAATATTAGTTGACTTGTAATCATAATTAGAAATTAAGAAGTGATCATCTTATTATGTTGTTGTTGATTAGACTTTCATTATTGATTGTATTAATTATTAACCAAATAAATACAATTATGTATTTGTAAACATTAGAGTGCGCATAAAATTTATAAATTAATAATAAATGCGTATTTATTAATAAGAAGTGCGCACTTGATTATTTATAATTATAATTTAATTAATTAAGAATGCGTAATTAAATATAAATGCGTACTCTTTTATTATTTTAAAATAAATCAATCAAATTCTTCATTTTCATATTCATTTTATTATTCTTCATGATTATTATTCTCATTTTCTTAATTTTAATCTTCATTTTCATTTTCTTAATGTTCCTCTTATTATTCATCTTATTAATGTTATTCATATTCATCTTATTCATAATGATCATTCATATCTTCATTATTTTAATCTGATCCTTTCTATTAATTATCTTCTTCTTATTAATAATGTTCATCTTCATTTTCATTTTCATTATAATTTTCATTCTCATCATAATTTTCATTATCCTCTTTATCATATTCTTATTATTATTATCCTTATTGTTCAACTATATGACCCTCATCACGAAATACTATACCTTAATCTTATTCTTTCTTTTTCTTTACTGCATTTTCATCTAATGAATAATCTTGACTTTATTTATCAAATAATTCCTCATCTGATTCTTCAGATATTCTCATATTCTAATGTCCAGTCATTTATTATTATTATGATGGATCTTCCATAGTAAATGGATCATAAGTATCTTATAATGGTATATGTTATAAATCTTCTCCTGATTTTTCAAATAGTTATAAAAAATAGAATAAATTTTCAGGTTCCTACCAATTTAAAGAAAGAGAATTTAACATTTTTCTAACATCTGATTTAGTAACTACATCTCCTTTTATTTTTTGTTTATTCCAAAATTCTTAAATTTTCTTTTCATTTTGTTTTAATTGAGTCTTCATTTTAGTTTATGCTTATTCAAAATCAAATGTAGGGAAATTCATGAAAGTCTTATAATTTCCAATTAAAGATTTCAAATTCTCAACTAATTAATTTCCATGACCATTAAGTGAATTTAATATTGATTGTACTTTATTTCCATCTGTATATGAAAATGGTTCTCTAATTATAATGAATATAAATTTATTTACTGAGCAAATATATGTCTTAAATCATCTACTTTAACTGTTACATTTTATTCTCGTGCTTATTATTTTAATCCTTCTAACATTTCAGCAAATTACTCAACTGTAATACCACGATATATCAATTTAAATCTTAATTCCTCTAAAATTAAATTTGATAATTAAGGTTGACGAGGAGTAGGGTCTTTTTTTGGTTTTGGTTATGGTTATTAAAGATGCTAATATTAAGCATCTTACATCTATTTAATTGTCTATTTAAGATTTGTTTTATCTGTCTATAATTTTTTAATTTGATTTTTTAGATCTTAGATATGTTTGTCTAATGTTTACTGTTTCTATTAATTTAGTTTATACAATTGCTAAATAAATGTATCGACAAAATACTTATAACTATCGCATCATTTCATCTGATTATTAACTTTTTTGATTGAGTGCTTTATTTTCAGCAATCAAATTTTCATTTGTTTTGAGTAGCTTCTAAACTTCACTTTCAAGTTAAAGACTTTGATTGTATTTACTATAAATTAAGGATAAAGATGATGTACCTTAACATAGATTAGAATTATGATTAACTCTCTTCTATGAGTTTACGCATACGCACGGTTTCATCAAAGTATGCCTTTCGATCACACTCTAACTCTTGAAATTTGGTCACTTTGGTATTTTTTTTAAGGTGCTCAACTTAGACTGTACGTTCTTTGAGTGACTATTGGAGGTCTTTGTTCTGTTTCTTTAGTTGGATTAGTAATAACTCATTGGCCTTCTTTTTGTTTGGTGTCTACTCGGTCATGTTCTCGCAAAGTCTCTCATAATTAAAGAGCTCTTTCTGAGCATATGAGGTTGGCTTACCTCGGTCTATTGGATGCGTGTACGTAACTTGGTGTTCTCCTCTTTTAGATTGTTGTTTTCAATTTTGTAATTTTGAAGTTCCATGAAAAGTTTCTCTTTATCTATAAACTTGAACTATCTCTTGAAATCATCTGCCTCTGACTTTATTAATTGATTAAAATTCTTTTATGCCTAAGAATTTTACGTATCGTTGTTATTATTGTTATTAATTTTCATTTATATTAATCACTTTAAATGTTATAAGAACGATTGCTATTCAGGTGTCAAAGGCCCTTTGCTAAATACATTTTCAGTTTCTCCTAATAAATCTAATTGGGATTTTCTAAATTAATGTAAAAATTCGATACCTATTTTCAGTTTGTTTTCCATATGATTTAGTCTCATCTCTTTGAATATTTAACCAATCTGCTTTTTCATTCTATTTATTTACAATCATCTAATTAAAATATAAACTAATATATACTTAAGCTTGAGTGGCTATATCATTTTACAATTCTAAGAGTGATTATTCTAATCTCAAAATTTAAGCATGTAAATAAGCAACAGCACCTTCTAATGATTGATTAGCTATTTCTAATCGAGCACTATATAATTTAATCCAATTATAATACATAGCTTATTAAAATGCTGCTTCTCTAGCATCATCAGCTTCCATTTCTTATTTCTAACTAAAAATGATATCAAATATAATTTGTACAGTTAGAATAAACTATCAGCTAAATCTTCAATTACTTAGACTACTCTTTCTAATGCAGATTGATCAGATTTTAATGTGGAATCCTAAGCCATAGCAAGTGATAAGGAAACCAAGGAATTGAAACCTCTTCTGTCTGGAAATCTTTAAATGAATTTCTTATGATGATGTTCAATATCTGCAAAAATTTCTTATTGAGTAAAGACAGATCCAGTTTTTATTTATTAAATGAGTTTTTTTCCTTAATTCAAAGCAGCTAATAAACCAACTATTTCAGTTCTTCTTTGATCATAGGCTTTTTTAGTCTCTTCTCTTTCAGCTGTAAGTGTAGCAATTCGATCTAAATTTCGTTATTTTTCAGCAAATTTGGATTCACCTTGAGCTCTTTTATCATTAAGTTCCTCCTCTCTCAAAGGAACTATTGGAAATTAGATATAATAAGTATACGCTATGCCTCATCTTAAGCTTTTTATTATTTAGCTTTAGCCAAAGCTTAATCAGCTTCATTAATGTATTATGTGATTTGTCCATTTCTATTTTGTAAGTAGTTTGTATGTTCAGTTTAGGCTGCATTAATGTCCACTTGTAATTATCTAATAAACTATAACACACGTTCGACATTATTTCTGAGGATTGAATATATATATATACTCTTGAACTTAAATAGTTTATAAGATTGTCTTTCCGAAATCAGATTGACTGAGCTTAGTGAAAAAGTCAATCCTTGAATCTGCAAATGTGAGAGTCACAATGCAAAGCAACACAAGAAATTTCATTAATTAAAATAAAAAACGGGTTAAAGAAAATCATTAATCTAAAAGCAACAACTCAGCTTGATATTAAGCAATCTATCTAAGTAGCCATTCGCAGGGATAATGTTTTTTCAAAGTGTAATAAACTTAAGCACATAAATTCAGTTTGATTTAAAGATTCATCCTTCTATCTATATTTAATTATTAATCAAATAGTAGATCAAATTTATCAGGTTCATCAATTAAAATATTGATTTTCGTTGTTTTTGATGTCTATACTTTGATTTAATATACATTAGGAAATGGAGGTCTTTTCTTAATCTATTAAATACTCTCCACTTCATTAAGTGAACTAGCATTTGTTGTTTATGTAGAATTAGGAGGAGACACTTCTAATTTCTTAGTATTAATTTAATTATATGATGATGTTGTATTGAGTTAATTTAAAGAATTATACTAAATTTTTATGACTTTTTTCATTTGAATCTTTATTGATTAAGTAGCTTTGCTAATTTTGAATATGATTTCTAAAAGATGAAACAAACGTAAAATGATAATAATAGCATATATAGTATCTGTCATAGGAAAGATATCCATAACTATTAATGCATCAAAACAAATGAAGCAACCATATATGAAGTGATAAGAATTATTTGATTTACTAAAGTGTCTAACTATATTGGGAGCGAGTAATGAGGCAACAACATATCTAACAATCTAGAAACTAATGTACATCCTTATGTACCTTAGTGTCAACCCCAAAGTTGTAATTGTAATTGCATTCACGAACAAGTGACATACGTAATAGACCTTGAGACATTACTTTTTGTGGTAATTTCAATCTAGAGTATAATAGAACATTAAGGGCTAGCTCAACACTTCCCCATACAAGTTCAGCCAAATTTCCTGTGATCATAGATCCGTTTTAAAATAATATAATTATATATACACTATGTATTATTTAATATCATCTCGATATACCATTTTAATAGTATTGAATGTTGTCATACCATCTTGTAGTTATTTTATCATTAGCATCCTCAATAATACTCTGCATATACTTAGCAGCAGCCAAATCATTTTTCTTTAACTAAAATAACTTTAAAAAATAAATTTACTTAAAATCTCTCTGTAAAATTCTTCATAGAATCCTTCATAAAACATCCTAATCCAGAATTAGTCATTAAAGTTACTAAATAATAGAAATGTTCATAATAATGACGTATAGATAAGAAAGCTCTAACTGTTAAATCAACATAATAATTAAATGCCTAATATGATAATATAAAGAGATACTTCTCCACCCATAATTTGACTCATTTCTTTGGTTAATTTGAAATTTGCAGATTCAAATTTAAGATTACCTCCTGGACTTATATCAAAGATGAATCCAAAATCTATATGGATTAAATGTCCTTTATCACTGATTAAGATATTGCCGTTGTGTCTATCCTTAATTTACAAGATATAACTAATAATACTATAAGCAGCTTAACTCTTAATGAAATTCTCTCTTGCTATTTGAAATTATAAAGAATCCTCTGATCCAAATTTATTAATGAAATATTCATATAAAGTACATCGATTAGTCTTACCTAATTGATCCCTAGAAATAGTATTAGGTACAACTTCAATGATTCCACCAACATTAAGAGATTTACCTGTTCGATTAGAAATAGTTTTATATGGAAAGACATGTAAATCTAATCCACATCTTTCAAACACTCCTTTAAACATACTTATTATTTATAAGGCTAAATTGTCTTATCTAATATCATCAAACACTTTAAAGATACAAGATTTAATTTCTTATTATTATTCATTAGTATTATTATAATGTGTAGTTTATTTCTTAAGACTTCCTCTAGGAGTAGGTTATTTGAAACTGTGTTTTTCAAATGATTGTGATTATTTGTGAATATGAGAATCTTTATAATTGGATTACATACTCTAACTCATTATTTAATTCTATCCATTACTTTTTAATGGTCTTACTAATTCATTAATAAATAATTATCCTTTCTCTTCATCATCAGGTAATGGATCTTACTCAAAAATAATCAACATTTTTTAAATATCTTCTTCTTTTAATTATTTAGTTAATTCAAATTCTAAAGCCTTACCAAATTCCCTTTTCTCTTTCAATTTCCTTTCAAAATATTTGTCAGGTCCCTCATATTTTCTACAAAGGAAACTAACCAAAATTGGACACTTAGCTGCACTTTACATAGGTGTTCCTGAATCTAATTTAATAGATGTTATCTAATATCTAGGATTTGTTGGCATATATATATCTTATGTTAATACTATTTCTCTTAGTTTCTTAGCAATAATTTCTCTCTTTTCTGGTTTACTCATTTAAGGTCTCAATTATCCAGATATTGCAGTCACACTCTCATAAAATGTATCAACCTTCTTAAAAAATGAAGTTTATTCAGAATCCATATTACGTATAATTTTAGATATAATAAATGGTGCTACCTTACTTATTTGATACTATTTCCTTTGAATACGACCTTGATTTACCAAATCCTTAACAAATTATTAATATTCAGTTGTTCTTAATATATTTTAATGTTGATTCTTACTCTTAGGTGAAGGTGGTCTCTTATGATCAACATCTATCTTACTTTCCACTCTTGCTAACCATAAAAGTTGATGGGCAAATAAGACTGATTATTAAGCATACTCTATGAGGAATGTTTTAATTAATTATCCAGATCTACTAGCTAGAGATTGTAAGATCTGAGATAAATAAAATATAATTTATTCACTGTGTAATCTTTTCATGATTTTAGAAAAACATAATTAAACATCAGGATAATTTTCAAATTAATCTGTTATGTACTTTAATAATAATTATATATGTGGTGGTTTCCAATACAATAATATTTTAGTAAAATTCTCAATTTATTACATATTATGTGTTACAATAATATCAAAGAAATGTGAACAATCATAGTAATTCTGGATATTTTATGAGATTTTATGTCCAAGAAATTTATATAAGACATCATTTAATTATAGTTCTGTTTACATTATAGGATATAGTTTTTTTAATATATAGTATGCTAAATTTAAATTTTTATCTGGAATTTCATTTAATATCTATTGAATAAAATTATCACTTAATTTATTTTGTGTCATTAAACTATAGTCAGTTTATAATTCATCTTATAAACGAGATGCAAATGCTTTAATTTTATCAATTTCATCACACAATAAAAAAAACAATGCTTTTCTCAAATAATAAGGTCTAACTTCTAGTGGTCTTTGTTCCTATAATTTTTAAAGTGAGATGGCATATGTTTATTATCCATTATATGCAATTTCTGCTTATAATTTTCGATAAATTTAAGATGTATTGCCTTACATCAAAATGGATGCTCTTGTTTAACCTTCTTTTGGATTAGTTGACATTTTAAATTATCTATGACTTTTAAAAATTACAGAATTAAATCTTTTTTTAACTGTTTTCATTTTAGGTATTTTTGAATCTTCATTTAATTCATTTAATTTATCTTTAGCCAAGTATTTACATACAATACAATATAATTAATATCTTTTAATTAATCTAGATTAATTTTGACATTATATAAATAGTGGTTCATGATATAAATTAATATTTTTAGCAAAATGACTTAATCCAAATTTTAAAGTTTTATAATAGAATGATTCAATATTAAATTTAACAGCTAGATTTTATTACATCAACATAGAATGTAATTAATTATTTTATCCAATTTTTACTTCATAATCTTAAGTATCTTTGAATTTCTCTTTAAATTCTTTCATTAATTATATAATTTCAATTGATCCTTTTAATACTTGACACACATTCTCTAATGGAATAAATTCAACTAATTTTCTATCTGTCATAAAATTATGTTTCAATATATTTGCAATAATTGATAATTTAACATTTTTGACTAAATGAATTTACATATTATCATTTAAGAATCTTATAAGAATCAAATGTAATTTACATAAACATTGCCATCTAATTTCATAATATCCAATTTATGCCATATTTATAAAATTGATATAAGGTTCTTCTAATTTATTTAAATAGAAATCAGTAAATTCTTCAGCTTCTAAATCTTATAATTAATTAAAATAATTAATTTTAATCTAAAATATATCTTAAGAACTTATTTTTTTATCATACTTTAAATTACCTAAATTATTAATTTAATATATGATATAATGTAACATTTCTCCAAGTAGGAAAAAGAATGTTGAATCAAAATAATTTTAAGATATTGAATGTAAAAATGGTATTAATCTCATTAAAATATATTTTAATAATTATGGTTATAAGTAGAATTTACAAATATCTAAAAGTTTAGTTAATATTTAAGTTTTAATTTAAGCACCAGAATGAATTATTACACTTTTTAATTATGTAACATGTTATAACATCTCTCTAACAATCTCTTATTTTGCTTTTTTATAATTACTATCTCGAACATTAATTCTTAATTATTACATACGTCCTTTTAATTTTTATGCAACTTATGATTTATTGTTGTATATAAAATGTAATATATTTAATTCTTAACAACATTTCTGTATATCTTTTAATACTGATACATAATTTATTTATAATAAATCTTCAGCATGAAAATCAAATTCAATTTCATTTTTTATTGAATAATTAATTAATTTAAGAATCTCTTATGCACTAGTATATGGAATTCTTTATTCAATATTTATCTTTTACAATCTCAATAATCCCTTATCTGATAAAAACATTGACATATCAGATGAACTAATTCTTGTATCAAATTCAACCTCTTTCACTAACCAAAAATAAGGATTATATCTATCTGCTTAATCTTTAAAAGTCTCAATAGCTTCTTTATCTACTTTAAAACTGTTGACTAAAAACTTTAAAAATTTATATCCAAAAGGTAATTCAGATAATAATGATGTTTCTTATCTAATTAAATGTAAACAAAACACTTTTACAAAGTTATGGTCTATATATAAACCTCTAAAAATTAATTTAAGTAAACAATTCATTAAAAATACAATATTCTATGTTAATATTTTTTAATCTGTATTCAACATCACTTTTTAATCATTAAAAACTTATTTAGATTTTGAATCATATTCTCTTCCAATCTTTTATGATATCACAGTTAATAAATATGAACATACTTTTATTACTTCTGGTGAAAAACATACAAATGGAAAATTACGAATGAAATCAATTACCATATCACTTGCATATTCTGATAATGTCTTTTCTATTGAACATGATTATTATAATAGATATACAAAATCTTTACATATAATTTCTTTTGTTAATGTTCCTTTACTATTTAATAAAAATGAATTATATTAAACAGCAGCTCTTGTAATTGATTCTTTTAATAATGATTAGAATTTAACTTATTTAATTAATTAATTTCTTAATTATTAATGTGTTAATTTTATTCCATTAATTTCCTTATTTTATAGTAATTCCTCTTCATCATTAGTTTACTTTAAAAAGTTGAATAATTTCATAATATAAGAATATTACTATTTTTATAATTGTTTAATATCTTAAATAATATTTGCTTAACATCTCTAAAGTATATCATTTAATGTCACAATATATACTAAATCTTAAGGTTCTAAATGTTTATCCTTTAATTCTTTTTTTTTAATTCTGAATAGGATTTTCATTTATCTTGCTAAACTATTAAAATAAAAGAAATTATAAGTAAATGTATCTTTATTTTCAACTAATTTCATAATTATTTTTAAATCAAGTAAAGATGTTTTTGATCCTGCTAATAAATTTGGTGTTTAAAATGCAATCAAATTTAAGGGTAACCACATTGTTTTATATAATTCTCTTAATGGTTGAATTTATTCATTCAAAAGCTTTCCCTCTTCATTTGTGAGTTATTCTTTCTATCCATCTTTCTTAGATAAGAAAAAAGATGGATTATTTAATGTTATATAAATCCAGAATTCAGATATTAATTATTAAGCTTTTAATCTTTATGCAATAACTTATTGTGAATCATTGAATATTTAACTACATTTAGATAACAAAGGTATTATTTGAAATACTCTTTTATAATCAATAACTTTCTTTTCTAATATTGATCCAATAGATAAATTTTAATAATTTTAACCCTATGCTTTTTATACCAATTATCTGAATAGAGATAAAGAACGCATACCTTCCTATGTACCTTTACATTATTCAACTTAAGTCAAGAATTCTTCTTCAATTTTTAATAATTATTAGTTTACAACTGTCATTATTTCAATAAAAAATTAGACTTATTCTTATGTATCACATAAGAAATAATTTGTATAAATTTTATCAGCAATATAATCAAGAACATTTTATTATATTTTTGATTGAGAAAATAAATCATCTCCATCAAAAAATAATTAAATTGATTTAGATAATTCTTTAAGAGCTTTTTCTCTAAATTATTTATCTTTTAAGTTAGCCAACAAATTTAAATAAAATTAATACAATCTCTTAATCATATATTACATTACCATAATATTTGGTTTATCTTATTTATTCTATTATAATAGAACTTATTATATAATTTGATAAAGATTCAATTTAGGTTGAACCAAATCTATAATAACATTACTACTAAATGATATTTCCTATTATTTATCTCTTAAAAGGAATGTATTAGCCAATTTTAAGAATGAAATTCTTCTAAGTAATTATTCCTCTTTAGAATTACTAATATAATTAATCTTTATTATCTATGATAATTATTTAAAATAATCTTGTTATACAAAATCAGTTCTATTTTCAAAAAAAGCATTCCATAATAATACAATTTAATGTATCTTTCTTTCATTCAATACTTTATTTTAATTTTCATCATGATAAAAGGATTAAACAAATACTTATTGAATAGATTTCAAGATGTAATTTAATTTTTATTCAATTAAAAATAATTCTTATAATAATTAATGATCAATAATCTATTATAATTATTATTTTTAAATTAGTACTTTAGATAAGAAACTACCAAAATTGTAATGTAATTCATGCATAATAAAATAGAAATTAATTGAATTCAAAACATCAAAACCTAAGTATTTAAAGTATTTTAATCCTTGACAAAATTCATATATTTATGAGATACTAGCTTTATGTAAATTATTAGCAACTACTTCAAACATTTCCTTAATAAAAGATTAAACTTTATTTTTTTATATTAAATCTAATTACCATCCTCCAAATTCATCTCTTTATTATTTTAATAATTTAATTATGAATTACAAAAAGATTGGAGAAGTACTTATTTCAAAATACTTTAATGATTTTTGAAAATAAAGAAAAGCATATTAATGTAATTATTCTAATTTGATTTAGTTATTAATTGTAATTGAATTGATAATCATTATTAAACTAAATGTAGATTTAATTTAAGAATAAATTGATTCAGAATTTGAGGAATTATTAAATGTTTCTTCATCTTTTTCTTTAATTTTTTCAATATTATCCATAAATGTTTAACATAAAAGAGGATCTAATAATTTATAATGAATTGATTTTGCCACATTTTCAATAATGATACAATTATTACTTTAGATATTTTCATTTGTATCTTATATTCTTAGATTAATGAATTTGGCTACATATTTATTACATAATTCAATTAATGATTAAGAAGCTATTTATTACCCATTAATTTCAGAAATGTTCAAAATCTAATTGATCGAACCATAACTATCAACATTGGATTACATTTGCATAGCAATTGAATGTGTTACAACTTTCACCATAGTTCGAACATTTTTAATGAATGTATTACCACTTTAGAATTGATAATAATTATAATTACCCTAATTAGCATTCTTACAATTATAATAGAGTATTTTAGAATTACTCTAATACATCTTTACGAACGATCTCTTCACTCTGTAACAATAATTCAAGTAATTTCTAAAATGATTTTTGTACATACTTAATCAAAGTATTTGTCCTATAATGTTCTGATACTAAGAATGGTTTCTTTGTTAAGTACAAAATATTGAGATTGCATATATTGATATACATCTCTTAACTCTGTTATAAACATTAATTAAATAATAATTTTTAGAGTAATTCATTTATGTAGTGGAAACATTTAAATAATTAAATTATGTAAGTTCTTTGCATCTAATGGTTTTGTGAGAAAGTAATCCATGCCAGAATTAAATGATTATATCTTAGTTTCAAGATCTGTAAATCCAGTATTTGCAACACACCATGCTTTTCTAATTATTTTATTTTTTATTAAATTCTTGATTTCCTTAACTGTCTAGTATCCATTTAAAATAGGCATATTGATATCTATAAAAATGAGACTATAAGATTTATTTTAACAGATATGACATCCTATTTCTAATTTTTACATAATTTTATTAAGTGCTTCTTTTCCATTATATGCATAATCACATTTAGCTCTATGTTTTTACATTAACAATTATAAACTCAAAATATTAAAGTATTCATCATCAACTATTAACACTCTTGCACAACAATTACTTTATATAGAACATTCAATTATTTCACATTGAAATTTTGGACTCATATTTCTTGGTTCTTAAATTAATATGAAATCATCTTCACTTATTGGTACAGATCCTTAATCTTAAACTAATAATAATTTAGTTTATTTGAGAATATTATCATCTTCAATAGGTGTATTCTTAGATTGTAATATAAATTTAGCTGAATCACTGAAGGGTTATTATTCAATGTAAGAATTACCTGAAATAAGTTTAATTATGGATCTACTTGATCTGAGTTCTACTGATTTCTTATTATCATAATTATTAAATTCATGTAAATGATTTTTTATCAAGAATGTAAAAGTTGTTCCATCTTCTTTTTAATCACAATTTATTGGAATATTTTTACCATTCAATCTCTTTACTATACTATTTGAAATACCAATTCCCAATCCTCCTCCAACTGAATTAGGTGATATCTTTACAAATTAATTCTTGCCAATTAGAATATTCTACATTCTGACCAATTCTTCTTCAGACTATACAAAATAATATATATTATAATACTAATCCAGGACCAGAATTTTAGATAGATATTTAACATTATGATCTACTGATTTCAATTTTAATATGTATTGTACCATTTGTATTTGTGTATTTAACAGCATTATGTAAAAATTAAAAATAAACTTATCGAAATCTTTATCTATCATTGATAATATTAGTATTAATCAATTAATAATCATGTACTACTTCAATCTATTTATTTTTAATAATATCAATCATTAAAGTTTCAATATGTTTTACTTCATCATATATATTGAATTCCTCTAATTTTAGATTGAATTATTATAAGCTTATTAAATTGTAATCTCTAATATTACTTACAATTAAACTTAATTATTCACTATTAATTTTTAATGGTGAAAAATATTTCTATCTAACAAATTCTGGAACTTCATCATCATGCAAAGCCAAATTTGAAAAAACCATAATACTATTTAAATTAGTTCCAAGTTCATGAGATAGTGATCTACTGATATCCATCAATACTTGATTATTACTATCATCTTATAATCTTTTTATCAATAATTGACTTAAATATGAAAATGAAACAATAAAGTTAAAATTATCATCTTATTGATAAGGCATTAAATTTAATGTAACATTCTCTAAATCAAAAACTTGACTCTTTAAAATAATGAATGATGCAAATTAAGTCTTTAAATTGTCTTTAAATTTTATCATGAATTCTTAAAAACTGTATTTTTATTCACTCTCCCCAAAATTAGAAGAAATCACTTACAAATACATAAATTATTCTACTAATATATTGTTATTTGGACAAGATTCATTAAGATAATGAATTTTAAGATCAAAATTAGTCTCCAAAATTTCTAAATTTTCCTTAAAAATAATGAAATTATTAGATTAGAATAAATTTTAAAGATTTTATCTAGATGATTGACTTGGAGTAAATTCGTAATCTTATTTAATTTTTTGATTAGCAGAATAATCCATTATAACTTAATTCTAAATTAAATTGTTTTATCTATGTCCTGGCTACTTCTGATTTATTATCTTACAAAATAGAATCAAAAATAATAAAGTGATACCTAATTCTAATGTTAATATTGCTCTATTATCTATAACAATCTTATCTTTATTGAAAATATTTAATATTAATCCAAACATTCCTATCATCTCATATAAAAATATATGATCAAAAATACTCTTGAATTTTAAAGTTAAACACATTAAACCTTAAAGCAAGAAACTCACTCCACTTGAATCATCTAAAAACCAAATCCCCAAATATTTACAACAAAAACTTAAGTAGATCGAAATTACCTTAAGATTGTTTTTCTCTAATCTAGAATTAGACAATATTTCAAGTAAAATTGATAATCCAAATAATGCTCCCACAGCCATCAAATTCTAATTCTCTTTTATCATTATATACAAAAATTACAAATATAACAGATGTATACACTCAGTACGGTGATAAGTACATTACTCACTAACTGAATACACATTGCAAATTCCATAAAAATTATATTAATATAATCATCAAAATTTGGGAGATATATTAAAAATTAATACGATTATACTAAGTCAAATCTCTAAAACAAATGCTATAATTAAAATTCATAACAAAAATATAATTAAATAATAAATCAAATCTTCATTATATTAATAATTATTAATAATACCTTCTCTCTTTTTTGTTTACATTACCTTAAGAAATTGTCATAATTTCAAAAATCTATTCTTTACTCAATCATAATTAAAAGAAATTACTTTTGGATTAAATCAGAATTTTAATTAAATTAATCTAATCATTTCATATTCTCATACTTATTTAAATATATATTTTATACAATTAAATTCCTTTATTTTATTTCTTACTTAAATAAATTATGCTCCTTTTTCTTTATCTATTTAAATACTTTAAACACTATATTAGGATAATTAAAGAAATTAAAATTCATATGAATTCACTTAACTTTTCAAATTTCAATAATTAAATTTATTATTTATGAATAATAAGAATTCAAAGTGATGTATTAGAATATTCTTAAATTTATTTTATTAAAAGTTTACAACTTGAGATCATTTAAGATATGAATGATTTAATTTAATTAAATAAATAGAGAGATAGAATAGAATAGAAAATATTCATAATAAAAGTAATTTAGTTTTATTAATTCATTCTTCATAAATTCCTTTGTCTTATAATTCTCTAATGTAATTAGATATGGTTAGACTAATGGATTAATTACGTGTTTTAAGAGCTTTATAAAGAACAGAATTGGAATTTTTATAAATGCTTGGGAATTGTAATCTTTATGTAGTTGGTTCAGTATGTTTCTAGACACTTTAATATCTTTATATGTTTCTATTGCAAGTAGTAGATATATTATCAATGTTAATTTCATCATAATTTCTTATATTTTTTTTGATGATTTCACTTTTATCACAATGAGAAATAACATCATGAATAGATAGTCGATCTTTTTTATCAATGATAATTCTTAGTTCTTATTTTTTATCAGATTAATGTAGAGAATTGGATTCACTTCTCATTACTCTTTTAATTTTATTCTTTTTAACTGCTGTAAACTGAATCATGTCAATTCTTTTATTTAATAAAATGGGAGACTTTTCAATCTCTTTACCTATACAAAAGAGCTTCATGTCTAAAAACCGTTTGACAGCACACTTTAATGCAATTTTGGTTAGATCTATCAAATGCTGAATGAGACATAGAAATATCTGCTACTTGGAATTGTGAAGTAATTCATTATACAAAGTGTCACTTTTTTAAACGAAACCAAAATGTTAGTACAACTCTATGAATACTTTGCTGGTGGAAGTAAGAGTAATTTCACTAAATCGTGTCTTAACTAATGTTATCGTGTACATCAAATCCTGGTGCAATTATTTTAAATATTTATTTTGCACCTTCTTGGAATTATGCTAAATCCTATTGTGTCAATTTACGAAATTAATAGAGCGAACTCATAATATCAGTCTCTTAGATTTAACGAAGTTTCTCTCTATACTCTATGTTAAAATCAAGATTACTAATTTATTTAATCGCCATAGAATTGTTGTAGATATTCTAAATGTCTGAAACCCTCTCCTTCATTATATCAATTATTATCATTTATTAATATATATATAAATCAAATACACACAAATAATCATTCTCAAACTAAATTCCCATTAGACAATCACATCTATTAGAATATATCTATTCTTCAAATCCACTTCTATTTAGATCATCTAAAGAATTATTAAAATTCAGAAAATCCTTTGAAAAAAATTTAATCAAAACTAAATGAAATCAATTTATCAAACAGTATAAGAAGTCTTTGATAAATATTCAAGATAAATAGTACATTATTTTCAAAGATCTTGAACTTAATCACATTTTTCCAATTGCTTTATTCATCATCATAAATTCAAATTGTTATTAAAAGACTAAATCTTTTGTTTATTAAAGTTGAGATTTGTACAATTTGAATCTTAAGTTATCTATGATGATAAAGATGAACTTAATCATTAATTAGAATTAAAAACCTTTCTTAAAGATCTAATAGTTCAGTTCTGATAAAATAAATGATTATATAAAATTATAATACTTGAAAGCAATCAGCTCTTAAATTCTAGAATTATATACTATAATATATTAATTAAAGAGAATTAAGTATAAATTTTCATTTAATATATATTATTCAATTTACTATATATATTTATTTTATTAAATATAGTAATAATAATCTTGTGGATAAGATAATTATAATGATCGCATTTATAATTGTTAAAATTTTAGCAATTAATACTTCAATATAATTAATATCGCATAATTTACATATATTACAATAACTTCAAATAATTATATATATTCTTATGTGTAATAATTACTTATTCATAATAACGAATTTCCAAATAAACTAATTTTTATTATCTTCCATTTAAATGTTTTGGATATCATTATCTTAAATCTTAATTTCTGGAACCATTAAGTGTATTACTATTTTTTATCATATCAATATTATAAAAATCTTCTATACTCTATTTTAATAGTTCTCATTAAATTTTATATTTATCATGTTTGTTTATTTAAGATCATATACTGGATAATTTTGATTAAATTGTTTGTTTATTTTAACTAGATATCTTATTAGAATATAGAATTAGAATTTAAATCTAACAGTAAAAGAGTTTATTCATGAATAATGTATATTATTATAATACTTTTATGATTTAAGTATTAGTAGTAACATAATTTAAATTAATGAAGAATATATCAAATTTAATACAAGAGGAATCTCAAATCAATTAATTAAGAGTAAGTACTCATCGGAAACATCCTTCTCCTTAGATTCAGATATATGACAAATTAAAGAATTCAATATAAGTTGATATTTAGAATAGTTATACTATTAAATTAAAGACACCAATATTTAGTGATAAGAAACTTTTTGAATATAAGAATTAAAAGGATTTAGAATTATTAGTTTCTTTAGTTATTTAACCATGTTTACATTTGGATAATTGTATTCATGAATAATTATATGAAAAGAATTAACAAGGTAAAACCTTTAGATAGGTTTGTGAATTCAGAGTAGATTGGACTAAGAAAATAAAGAAAGCTGAGAGACATTTTGAAAATTCAATTCAATATAAAAAAGTGTAACAAATACAATGTTAAAATAATGATTAATTTAAAATTATTATTCTTGAGGCTATTAATAATAAATAGGCAGCTTTAAAAATGATGATTGATAAATCTAAAAAAGAATCATAATTTATTGAATATGCTAAGAGATTTGCAATTCAATAAAGATAAAGAATGGATTATAGTGAATCATTGTTAACTTAATTTGAAGATATTCAAAATAGAAAGAAATATATTCATCCACCTTCATTTTGGTCAATTCTTGATTGTTCTTGTAATTCTACTGTGATGTGAATAATTTTTATTTAATTAACCGTTGATTTATTATAATGTCAAAACACTCTGAAAAGAAAACTAAAGTAGTCGAATATAGACATGATCATCAATAATCATATTATCAAACATATGTTCCTACACCATATGTAGCTACAACATATGAATAACCAATAGTGGTAGTACCAAATATTCAACCAACATAAATCATAACAGCAGAACCAACAGTAATAAGAGAAAGAAGAATAGTGTAAGGAGAATCATAATACATAAAATAAGATCAAGTAATATAAGAATAGAATTGTTGTATGTCTTGTATGCCTTGTGTACCATGTTGTGATAAGGAATAAAAGATTGTTACAAGATAAGTAGTATTAAAAGGTATATTCAATTAATATACATAGAGAAATAACCAATTTTATAAAATAGAAATGAGGAATATGAGAAGAAGTTGGATGATATAGAGAAATTGCATATACAAGAAATTAGAGAAATGGAATTAAAGATGTAATAACAATTAGATTAATTACAGAATTAAAAACTATAAGATGAATAATAACGATAATTATTAGATTTAAAATAATCACTCTTTGATATTAAAAATCAATTAAGTTAAAGAATTCAATAAAATCAACCTTAATAATCTTAAATAATTAATCCATATTAAATAGAGAAATTGGAAACTTAATTAGATAAGAAAAAGAAAAGAATTAAAGAAATGAAACAAATTATAAATAATTTACAAATAGAAATTTAATAAAAGAACAGTTAAATCTAAGATTTAGATCTCAGATTAAGATAACCAATTCCATAATAAGTAGTTCATATTCCTGTGCCATAAGAGAATTATGAATTAATTAATTAAGTAAGATATTTAGAATAAGAACGTAATGCTTTATTAAGAGAAATTGATTCTCTAAAATTTACTAATTCAGAATTATCATCATTATCATTTAGAGAAGATCCTGAAAAGATTAGATTAAAATAAGATTATACTAGAATGATAAATGATTTTAGATTTTTAGAATAGGAGAATATTAAGATGGCCACAATCATAGGACAAAAAGATGAATTGATTAAATCTCTAGAATAACGAATCAGTGTAGAATTATAAAGATAATCTATATTACTTTAATAATAATCTCCTTAAAGAATTGTTCTTGAATAAACTACTACTACTCGTCCAATTTAAACATAATATGTTATAGATTCATCTTAATCTTATGCTTAATAGCCAATTCATAAATAATATATTATTTAAGACTAACCTATTTAAACTATTCAACCAACACTTTTACAATAACAATAATAAACACTTCCTAATGTGAAAATAATATCATGATCATTATACATAAAGTTATTATTATATTATAATTTCTATAGTTTTATTTTAATTAATTTAATAATTAAGATATAAGAGAATTTTGAATTATTTTCTAACACCAAAATTAAATCATTTCTTGAGTAGTATTCTGAAAAGTTTTTATTGTGCTGAACTAAACTATGGTATAATTTTATCATCTTTAACTTCCCCACTTATTGGTCTTACTTCAATCCTACTAATAGGAGACAACTTTGGAGTTTATACTCGAAAAAACCTAGCAGAATTTGATTATTTTAGTTATTGACATTTTATAGCTTTTTTAATCATCTTTTAATCAAAAATAGGACTTTCTAGCTTGAATCATAAAATAATCATTCATTACCCCTATATGTCATTGGACTCTATCTACTTTCTAATCTAGATCTAATTTTCTATGCTATTAATTCTCTATTCTTTCCACCCATTTTTACAAAAAATGATTCATCATTATGCATGTATCCTTTTTTATAACTTTTAAGTTACTTCTATCTTTGAATTATCCATTTGGTAGTTTTGTGATATCAATCATTTTCGTTGGAGGATCAGAGTAGTCACTATCAAATTCAATATTTTATTTTAATCCAAATGGTCTTATCCTTTCATATTAACAAAAAGCTAAGGTGATTTTGTTATCTGCAAAATATAAATCTAAGTCAATATTATGACTTACTCTATCTATCAAGATTTTACTTAGTCTTAATTTAGTTATGCATAAATATTAATTTATTAACAACCCCATCCAAATATGAGCAATGGTAGTGTGTGCAAATTAAAGTAGTCTTCTTTATCGGCCGTACTGATTTGGTTGACTTTATTCCTTACGGCTCAGTGAAATAGATCCTAGTTGATGCTACTATCATTAAATTATTCGGAGGATTTCGTTCCTTTTTTCTATTTGGAAATAGGTACATTACTAAAATATTTAGGGATGATGTATGGGTTTTTGGAGATAATTCACATGCTCAATTAGGATTGGGTGAAGTCTCTGAAGTACAAAAGAAACCATAAAGACTTTATTGCAATTATGAACTTCTACATTGTGCTGAAACATATACATATGCTTATAATTGGGAAGGTCTTTATTATTGGGGTGAAACTAGTTTTGGTTGTTCATAATATAAAGGATTATGTTTGGATCCAAAATAATTACCTTAAAAAGGAGTGTCATAATTATGTGCATAAAATGATCGATTTTATTATATTTAACATGGTGATTTATATGGTAGTGGATTTACTCATTTACTTGGAGTTAAAACTAATATAGTTTCAACATCAAAACCATTACTAATAATGAATAAAGTAGTTAAAATATCATGTTCAATAAGTCATTCTTTATTATTAGATGAAAATGGATATGTATATTCATGGGGAAATGGAAAAAATGGAGAATTAGGATTATAAATGGCAGGATATACATTCTAAACTTATTGCAGTACTCCTACTCAAATCAAATAATTAGAAAGAATTCAAGATATTTAATGTGGCAATCATTATAGTTTGGCTTTGAATTAATAAGGAATTGTTTATGAATGGGGTAATGGATTATAATCTATGACATTTGAAGAAGCTTTGAAAATTAAAGAAGTTAGAATGCCTAATGAATATTCTAATATACGTAAAATTCATGTAGCTTTAAGTTAATCTGCATGTGTTGATTAATTAGGTAGATTATATTAATGGAATTCTAAACATCCTAAACCTTAATTGGTAAAGAGTGGATTTAGATGTGAAGAATTTTTATGTGGAGATAATATTGTATTATTTATTGGAAATGAATAAGCATATTAAGTATCTGAGCATTTTAAATAATAAGTTAAAGAAAAAGTTAAAAAATATAAAGATTATGTGGAATTAAAGAATAATAAAGTTAGAAATGTATTCTATGATGAAAGTAAGAGAACTAAATGTTTATAAGAATTGAATTAGAAGATATTAGAATAATAGATTAAACCAATATAGCCTGAAGATTTTTTATATTCTCGTTTATAAAGGAAACAATCCTTATATGTTATGTAATTAAAGAGAAGAAGTACAATGATGATATCTGAATTACAAACTTTAGGTTTTTAATCAGAACACAAACCAAGATTTAGTACAATTAAATTTGATTTAATAAAAGAATAGATGAAATCAGCAAAAGTATAACTCTTAAATACAAATAAAGAGGTGAAGGATAATAAGAACTTTTAAGGATCTTGGGAATAATTTAAACTTCTTTCAAAAAATGTGAATCGCACAAGTTAAATAAAGAATAAAATTCCATTACATATTCTAAATACAAAATTGTAGTAAGCTATAGAAATTGACAAAGTTTCAGATTTAATTTTAGAATCTGAAAGATTAAATCCTCTCTACATCCCATTAGAAAACATGGCCAAGATCATTAAATCTTAACCATAGACTTAAAGGGAATCTCTTCATATTAAAGATACTGAACAAAAAGAGTTCATAGATGATCCAGATATTATGAAATATGAATATGTGAAGCGTATATATAATGGATATCATGAAAAATTACTTATGGATAATCTCATGACAAAAGATTAATGTTTCTTACCTATAAAATGGAAAAGATTAAAAGATGATACTAAACTATTTCAAGGACGCTATAATCGAATGTAACAACGACTTCAGAGAGAATAAAGAGATGCAAAAAAATTAACCAAGATTAAAGATTTGTAACATTTATGACCATTCTTTTTCTTATAATTCATATCTATTAACTATTAAATTATTTATATATTCAACCATAAATTTAGTCTATCTAAATATAGGTTATAATTTAAGTTATCCACTAATTTCAAGTTCTTACACTTGATTCATCAAAATATGTATATATTTATATCTTGATATAGATCTAGAACAAACAAAATATTTTTGATATTATTTTAAGATGCTTATATTGTCATCATTTGGCTGAAGAAAGATCTTAAAAAGCTATGTATCAATTTAAGAAGAGATTCCTTAAGGATATTATTATTATCTTATGTTATTATAGATTCCAATTACATTAAATTAAAAAACCATTCAAAAAGTCTTTATTTTTCCCTTTTCGATAGTCAAATCCATAATAGATATCTAATTAATGGATATATGATTTGTAGTATCTATGTGTAGATTGATACCTTAATATTGGATGAGTGAATTAAGCACTAATATGTGCAATAAAATATATAATATCATAATTATTTTGATTCTCTAATTGAATATCTATGAATATTTCTTAAGTCTGTAAAATATAATCAAATTCCAATGACTTAAGCAGCAGTTTAACCTTGATATCTATCCATTTTGCAAACATAGATAAAATGATAATTATTTAGATCTGTTGCATCAAATTCCAAACTTTTGGTTCTGACATCAGGTTTATATACTTTACTGTATGTCACTTTCCAATTATATTCTGACTTGCTTAGATATGGAAGTCTCTATTCAGGGAATCCATGAGATACAATAATATATACACCAGTATCTTTTTTTAATGCTCTGTAGATGTGATTGATCACCTTTTTTGAATTCTGGGCTGAATAGTCTCCACTTAAAACAGCATCTAATAAACCTTTATCAAAGACACAATCAAATGATTCATTTGGAAATGGTAAATCTCTTGCATCAGCCAATACAACTATATATAGATCTAAGTGAATACATTAAAAATGAGCAGGGTAAGACTTATATTTCTCTTTCATAAATTCAATAACTGTTTTAGAGAAATCTAGATTAACAATCCATTGATAACCTTCCTTGTACATGTCTTCAGGAATATCTATAAATTAAGTTATGAATATTGATACTTGAATTTCCGCATCCAATATTAAGAATACGACTATTGTGATTAATATATTGTGTAACAATATCTTTTAAGGTATCATAATTTTAATACCATTCAAATGGCTTATCATTTCTAGAATAAAAAGTATATAATACTCTGAATATCTTCTTTCCCAAAATTCTAGCTTGCCATAATGGTTCTTTTGAATAGCTTCTTATTATGATTTATTCATAATTAATAATTATTATAAATATTATTAAATTTCAATTATTAATCCAAATCGATATTAGATTCATGAACACTACATCCTTTTATTCTTGAAGATTCACTTATTTAATAATGTTCCAACTTATTCAGACATTCAAATTGATGTAAAACTAGATAATTCGATTGAAATTTTATCTTTGGATATTCACAAATCAAAAAACTAAAATTTGTGAAGTAACACAATCTTTGAATTTGATACATTAATTAAGGCATAGGAAATACACCAGCATAATTTTTGATATCATATTCTAATTTATTAGAAGTGAATCGTTTCAAATTATTAATAGCTTCTTAATTTTTAGGTTCTCCAAAGATATTTGGCATACCTTTCAATTTCTATATATATTTTATATTTATATACTATTCTATAATCTTATATTGCATAAATTAAATCCTTTTTTATTTTCTTACTATATTTTTCAAATTTACATTCTATATCAAAGTAATCTTGTCTAAGAATCGGTAATGTAACATTTAATTACTCAACTAATTATTGAATGTGTTTTATTGGAAACTTATCATTGCTCAAAGACAACAATAGTAACATACTTGTATAAAGCTCTTATTCTAGGGCATATCAAATAAGTACATCATTTCCTTCAAAAATTATGGATAAAGCATTTTCATAAAATCTTTCACATTTTAAATAGTAAGGATTGAATTGTTTTAATTAAACATGATAAGTTAATGATACTTTTGGTCTAGTAATGAGAACATCATTGGCTTCTCTTTTGTTAATTGATTATTAGGAAACGTTTAAATTTTAAATTTTATTTGCTTAAGTTGATTCATCATCATCAATATCTTCAAAATCCATTAAAAATCTCATCATTTATTGATTCTCATATTTCTTAATCATTTTCAAATTAACTGGAGATTGTAAAGCAAATCTTCTTGGTAATATTCCATCTACATTTTCAATGAATAATGAAACTTTCTCTTCCTAATTATTAATTTAATAAGTTACTATCAATATTTCTATAATTTCATAATTACTTTTAAGAACAGCTAAATGCATTAATGATAAGCCTTGTTATCCTGCCAGAAGATGAAAATTGAATTATCCAATTTATTAGGCATAAATCACTGCTTTATTTTAATTATATCTCACAGCTTGATGCAATGGAGTCCATTTCTCTTTATCATATTCATTTGGGTTTTCAAATTTCAGTAGTAGATTTGTCAATTTTTTAGCAAGTTCTGAATCCTAATGGAAATGTTGAAAAACTTGATGCAATAAATACTTCTCTTTTGGCCTTCCTCCTTTTAATATTACAATAATTATTACCTTGTATTAAATAATTTAGATCGCTCAATCGAAATTCACTATTTATAGGTTTAATATTCTCTATCTATTATAGCTTTTTCATTTATAAAAATATATAATTAAAATATCCTTAACAGGTAATTTCATTTTATTTATTAAATGCTAATATATTTTATCTCTTTACTTATTATTGTAAGTGGACAATGTATTGAGAATACCTATCTCCAAATTCCCAATTCAGTGTAAAAACAATAATCTGAAACTGAAATCGTAATAAGATTAGAAGGAGAATATATAATCGGTTATGGGGAGAATTTTAATATCAATGATAAATCAAAAATTCAAATTCTCTAATCCTCAGTTATCTTTGGACCCCAAAATTTTGAGATCTATTGTCCAGCTATTCATATTATACCTGATGAAGAGGAGGCTAAATGTGAAATCATAGTAAATATGTATTAAATGAATACAACAGAAATTGATAACTTAGCATTTGCTAAACTTGTTATTCCTGTTGAAACTAATAATAATATTCGAGAAAATCCTACACTTCAAATATAAAATAATTTCTAATTAAGATTAGTAGATTTAGCAGAATAATTGAAGGATGTCGATTATTTTGTACAATATGAGAATTGTGGTAAAAAGATATTCATATTGTCTGATTCTTTGCCAATAACAGCAGAACAAATATTAAATTTGTAAAATTATTCTAAATCATTGGACTCCACAGCTCCAACAGAGTTAATAACCCCATAACTCAAAGGTTTGATTAAGGTTGAAAATTTTACTGTTGATAAAAGATCAACTATACACCTATTTGCATTATTTACAATAATTTGTGGAGTCATCTTATTAGCATGTATTAGGGCATTCAAGAAAAGAGTTGAAGAAAACCCACCATAGAATGATGAGTTATTGAATTAATAAGAATTAAAGGATCTTAAATGAATAATAATAAATATATAAAGTAGTTGTAGTCAACATTTTTGTTTTGATGACGATACACTTCGATGATTCTAATTCTTTGTTCCTTTTAATTCTGTTTTGTAATGAAATTTTCTTATTGTGCTTTCTAACTTTTAAGAGAAATCCTATTAATTCTTGCTTCTATAAATTGTCTAAGTAATTGCTATTGGTTAAGTAACTACAGATGTCTTACGAGAATTTTGTTTACTATTTACTGATTTGTTGTTGTTATATTAATTAATATAAAGGATTCTCTCACTATCTTAATTTGATTATTTAGTTGAATTGCTTCTCAATTTATTATTCATAATAGGTAATAGATTGAGTTATTTCTAGAATTTAGATTCTTAAATATTTCTAGTTATGTTAACGGTTTTATTGATAGAAGAGGAATTTAATTCTTTTTAGATTGGTTTAGTCTAAGATAAATAAAAGGGAGTTTTAAAATTGGTAATATTGTATAAATTTTATGGACTATTTTCTGGTTATGTATTAATAGTGAGCTTAGTTGTTTCATTATTCTCAAATAAATCATTATAAAATTTTCCTTTTCTTCTACTACCATCTGCATATATCAATTCCCCTTCTCCATTCTTTTTGTCATTTTAATAATAACCCTTATAAGAATAATTAGCACATCTATATTCACCATAACCTGATTTTAATCCATTCAAAAATTAACCATGAAAATATGCTCCACTTGAATAGAAATATTCTCCTTCTCCTTCTGGAGTTCCATTTTAATACATCCCAATATATCTATCCCCATTTGAAAATATTTCTTCACCAAAACCATGTTTCAAACATTCCTTAAACTCACCTTGATATTGTTCTCCATTAATCCATTTATGAATTCCTTAACCATGAGGCTTATCATATGCCCATTATCCACTATAACTATCTCCCTTTAATCCTATCCATGTTCCATAACCATGTTTATATCCATTCAACCATTCTCCATCATAAGATTCTCCATTTCCCCAAATAAATTTTCCTAAGCCTTCCGGCCTACCATTTAAATAACTTCCACAATAACTAGATTTTTATTAGAATAATTCCATCCCAAATCCATGTTTTCGATTATTATTAAATTCCCCCTCATAAATATGTCCTGTTTTAGACCACAACACACCCTTTCCATGTTTTTTTGAATTGAATACTTGCCCAAAATAAATCTTATCATTTGATAATACCGTCTTAAAATTCTTTAACTAACTTAGTTCTCCATATGAATATCCTTCTGTTACATTCTAATAATTGAGTATACTTTACAAAGTTTGATTATCTATCATTTTTAATTAATTAATATGTTACAATAATAGCAAGTTTAAGATGAAAATGAACCAATCTCATAATTCAAATAAATTACTAGATATTATTCTCTTAAAATAATAAATCCCTAAGTTTATTATTACTATGTAGCTCCTGGAAATAATAGCAAACTTATTATTTAAACAATGCAAAAAAGAAAGAATTGGTAAGAATCAGCAAATCAATTACTTCATTTTTAATGGAATATGAATGATAAGAACTTTAAATATCTTACACTCAGCTAATCATAAATACAAATTGTTAATCATTTACCTAATCATAGAGAACTTACTATGAAATGCAATTTAATTAGGAATCTAAAATATTTTTGTTAAGCTAATAAGCGCTATGTCTGGGATATAACTCCATTATCTTTTATTATAGATCTTTATAGTTCAGAGAATGATCTAAACAGAGTTCTTAAAGAATTCATATCCTTTTATGAATAATTCAAACCTTCAAACTCTAAAAAAAATCAACTTAATTATTCTTCTAAGCCCATTTCCTAGTATGTACATCCTAAAATGCATCATAGCCTTTTAGATGATGAAGATAATTACATTTGGGTATTAATTTTCTCTAACAGTTAAGATTTTAAAACCAAATGAATTTAATAGAGGAAGAGGTATCTAATTTTTTCGAACTATTGAAGAACTTAAATAGTTATTAAAAAATTTCAATAAAGGAATTTCTGAATATCAATTTAGTCAAGGTTAAATTAAATCATCCTCTTTTGTGATATAAAAGTACATTTAAAGACCATTATTATTAGATGGAAGAAAATTTGATATTCGAGTATGGGTTTTAGTAACTCATTAATTTGAGATTTATATTTTTAATTAGGGTTATGCAAGATTATCTTCGGAAATGTTTGATCTAAACAAATTAGATGCATTTATTCACTTAACAAACAATGCAGTTTAAAAGCATTCCCAAAATTATGGTTTTTTTGAATTAGGAAATTAAATTTCATATTCAGAATTAGATTATTATACAAATGGAGAATTCACTAAAACTGTTTTGCCAAAAATCAAATCAATCATAGTATTTTCTTGGATGGCTATTCAAAATACATTTAAGAAATGCAAATATTCATTTGAGATCTTTGGATATGATTTTATGTTAGATGAGTAATTGAAGCCATGGTTAATAGAAATTAATACTAATCCCTGTCTTGAAGAGTCATCACCATTATTATAAGAATTGATACCAAAAATGATAGATGATGCATTTAAAATAGTTATAGACCCTCTATTTAGTAAAGTTACAGAACCTACTGGTTGGGATCATCTATTGTAATTATGATGTAATTAAACACTCATTATTAAATGATTCAAAATAATCAGTATTAAATCTATTAATCAATTATAATACATATTCTGAATGCTTATTGTAAATTCATATATACTATTCTTAACATAAATATATTAGTTAAGAATTATGTATAATGTTTATAACATTTTCTTATAGATTATTTTAAGTATTAATCATTAGTATAAAAATTATAAAACATATAATAAATGATAATATTTTTGAATGGCATGATTATATGAATTTGTTAAATGATATAAATAATCATGAATAAGCATTTCTCACTATTAGATCATCATTGTATTAATTTGTTCTTAAAATTTGTATAATATAAAATAAAAAAAAGTAAAATTAAATTGATTTGAAGTGTTGCAATAAAAGGCTTTAAGATGAATTGGATTAAATGAAGTTTTAAATTCTTAATTTGAGAGAAAAATAAATATCTTTAAATTAATTTAAATAATAATGAGTGAATAATAATCAAAGGGCGAGAGTCAAGAAAACTTAAGTTTATTATCTTCATAGGAAGAATAATAAAAGAAATAAGTAAAACCAACTGAATTGGTAAATCTGCCAAAAGGATCTTCGCAATCCTTAATTATTAATGAGTAAACTTCAACTAGAGAAGAAAGAAAAATAAAATAGTATTTACAACGTATACAGGAGTAAGAACGATAGGAAGAGGTAAGTTTCCTTTAATTTTAGTTTTTAAAAAGGCTGCTACACTTAAGCGTAAGCGGTCAAAGGTAAAATCATAACAATATAATAGCCTAACCCTCCATTGAAGTAATAAGACAGTCAAGAATAGCCAACTAGCTCTGAAAATAAAGAAGAAGAGGGAAAGTAAGCTATATTTAAATGTATTAAGTCAACAGCTAGCTTTGGCTCTCTAGTTAAATCCATAGTTAGTCCCATAGTAAAGTGTTCAATAATCAGAAACATCATCTTCATAAACAAAGTTGAGACTGAACCCAAAATTAAAAATGAAAGTAATTCATATTGTATATTAATTAAAAGGAATAACACCACATCTATCTTTACTTATCAGATTGTTAAGACCGTAGTTTTGAAGACATGTAATAATTGTAAGCCTCTGCTACTCAATTATATTCACCCTAAAAATAAACTAAAGATTAAACAAGTTTAAATTAAATAAATCAAGAGATATTTTAGGAAACCTCATATTTAATTAAAAATATTAAAAATTAATATTAATAATACATTGAACCTATTCATAGTGTGAACTCAAATGATTAGAAGGAATTTTACAATAAATATTTTGATAAAAAGTACATAGAGTCAGTCATAAGAGAGAGTAGATTATAAATTCATAAAAAATCAGGATTAGAAAAATAAACATAAATTGGAAAATAAATTCCAAAAAAATATTGATACTTATAGATCATATCAAGAATTATAGAAATCTGGCTTTTCACTTCTATTAGTATACTTTATTTTTCTTTTTTCACCTAAAATACAGCTAATAACCTTTGTCAACTTTTTGTTGGAACTCTAATATTTTTCATCTACCTATTGAATGAGGAATAACAATTCCTTTATTTCACTAATCTAGTAAATTTTCTTTATCAATTCAATTGATTTTACTGATCGAACCAGAATTTCCTTCAGAATATAAAGTGTTTCTTCAGTAGACATTAATTCAGGCTAAATAAGATCTAGAATATTAAATTATTTTCTCTTTAAAGATTCCTCATCTCCTAATTAGATAAATGATTTTATATTAATAGAATCTCCAGTTGCAGCTGAACACCTTACTCCTGTTGTAATTTCTTCTGATGTTCTTTTTGTTAATTTATCATCCTTTTGACTATAATTTTCCATAATCAACTTTTAATTTTATTAAACTAAATGATTATTGTCTTGTTAAAGCTTTGATATTTTCTAATAATAATAAAAATCAATAATACATTTTATAATATTTCGTGTTATTTTAACTTTTCGTTAAAAACTTGTTTTAAATCTATAAATTCTTATTGATAACTCTTATACTCGTCCACTAATTAATTTAATTATTATTAACTCAAATTTGATGAAATATATTAACTAATCACTCTGCCTTACTCAATGCTTTTATTATTTGGTGATTGTTTAGTATCATTCAATTTCATATCATATTCCTATTAAATATATTATTGTTAAAGCTTTTGATTTAGATCTGTATTTCTATCTTAAAATGTTTTATTTTATTCCATTAATTACTTCACTTCTATATTTTTTTATTGTAATTTCTTTTTTTGTTTCTCCAATTCATCCTTTAATTCAAAAATTGTTTATTCGTAATCTTTTTGAACTTACTACAATTATTTTATTTATGAATAAAGTTCAATATTCTTTTTATCTTTTTCCTTTAGTTTTTAATATTATTGTTTCATTTCATTTTATGAAGTTTGATTTTATTAATTATAATTCTTTTTAGATGAAGATAAGTTTTTAATTGAATCATTCTTTAATTATTAAATTTGTTTTTCTTATTCAGATATTTTTATAAGTAAGTCTTTTATTTAATTTTAGAATTATTGTTTTATTTATGCCATTTCATTATTTAAACCAGATCTATCAGTTTATATAGATTTAAAATGACCTAAATTTTCTGAATCGATAGATTTTATATGATCTTAATTTCTTGGAGATTTTAACTATTATTTAAATTCTGAATTTTCCTAAATTAATAAACAATTGATCTTTTTTACTTTTTCAAATTCTTCATATAATTTCTTTTCTTGTTCTCCTCTTTCATTTAAGATTATTGATAATTAATTATGTAATTTATCATTTTCTTCAATTAAATTATTATTTTACTCTTTAAAATACTCAATTTAATCAGATAATTCTTTTAATTATTCTTCATATTATTAAAATGCAATATCTATTTATTCTCTCTATTTTGTCAATAATAATGTTACCACCTCTCTAATTTAAATTTGTATAGACATTTCACTTTCAAAAATATTCTTATCATCTTCTATTGAGCATTCTTATAATATATTTTTTAATTCCTATTTGCTTTATGTACAAGATTGACATTTAGTATTTAGTTCAAATACACTTGATCTTTTAATCTCTTTTAACTTTATTTCTGATAACATGTTTTCGTCTTGTTTTCTATATTCAATCTCCTTTTTTAATCTGTTAGTTAGAATTTGAATTTATTATTCTTAATTTTCAATTATTCGATCCTTGTCAGATTTATTTTTGAATTCACTTAAAATTTAATCTTTTTTTTCAATCTCTTAAAGTAGATCCTTTATGTAAATATCATTATCTTTCTGTTTTTTTATTTCTAAATTTAATTCATCAATAATCTTATCTTTAGCTCTGATAACTTCTTGCTAACTAATAATTTTCTAAGAGGCTATTTAAAGGTTCTTACCCCTTAATGTTTCAAGAGTTGAAAAATCTTTATGCTTTGCTTATAACAATTTTAGTCTCTCTTCAATTTCGATATATTTATTTAAAAGAATATCGCTGTTGATATTAAGTTTTTACGGTTATTTAAAATTTAAAGAGTTTTCATTTGAAAATTCTATACTGGGTCCTTAAACTTATGGAAAGATATTTTTGCCATCCCCTGGTGTTACATTATATTTAGACCAATCAATTAATTTATTCATTCTTTATGGTGTCATAGATTCAAGAATTGAATTTGATACTTATAATTGATTTTATTAATGAATTTATTCTTCCTGAGTTAATATTCTATTCTTTTAATGCTAAAAGCAATTTTATTCCGTATAAACTTTTTTTATTGGAAATTTATTTGGAGTTCCATCTGATATTTCACTATAAGATGTTATTGTAATATCTATGTGAGAATAGGGAGGTTTCTCTTAGTCTTATTTTTATTCAGTGTTCTTTTTAAAGAGAAGTTCATCCAAGTCTTTATTTCTATTCATTTTGAGAAAATTCAAAATTATAAAATTTATATATTGTTATTAGTAATTCATTTTTTTCTTTATTTTAAAGACGATACTCTTTTATGTAAAATTTATTCTGTTGAAACATTTGATAATAATTAATGGTAATCTATATTGCCATCCTTTTAACCTGTTGGCAATGTATTTTATCTATCTGCAAAAAAATTATTTTAGGAAATTATTCTTTTTAAACCCTATAACTTAGATTAAGCAGGACTTGGAATAGTACTGATCTATTATACGTTGCTCATAGATGATTATCTATTCTAGAACTCAATATTTACTAAGATTTTATTCGTTTCTAAAGAGATTGAAATTACTCTGGTGTAAATTTTGATTATTTTGAATTCCTAGTTTATGGAGATGCAGGTTTCGATTAATGTTCTTTTGGTTCAGTACTTTTTCTCTTAGGTTTAAATTTTTGATTTAATGCTAATTATTATTAAGTCACCATCATAAAGTGTTATTATAATATTTTGGCCTATTCACTTTTCATTTATTTCTATTCATAAGAATCAAAGTAGAATGCCTTAAATATTCTGATTTCTTATTATAATCCTGCTTTTCCCAATAGCTTTTCTCTTGTTTCTAATTCACCTTTCATTAAATCATTAGAGTCATAATTAAATTTCAATTAATTAGGCTTAAATGGAGGGGGAATCTATTTTTATAAAATTGCCACTAAATCAACGTCTTTAAACCAAGCATGGGTAAGTAATTCAGTTAATCCTTTATTTGCCCCTAATCTCTCAGATGGTTATTTGCATAATAATCCTTAAAGCAAATCCTTTGATAATTAAGTATTATACTTTGATTTCAGGTGATAAATTTAACTTCTCTGGAAAACTTAATTCTTCATTAAGGATTGATTCATAAATTTCATCTGTGTCCCTTGAATAATAGGGAGGCAATCCTGTGACTAATTCAAAGAGTAATGCCCCCATGCAATAGTGGTCAACCTGTACATTATGCCCTACTTTCAATAGCATTTCAGGAGCCATATATTCTGGTGACCCACAAAAACTGTAAGCATAGTCTTCTTCAGTCATATTGGGCTTCGATAAACCAAAGTCAGCTATTCTTATATGACCATCGATGTCTATTAAAATATTTTCTGGTTTTATATCCCGATAGACAACTGACAATGAATGTAAATAAAACATAGCTAAACAAATTTCTGTAAAATAAAATCTAGCTTGATCTTCAGTCATTCTTTTAACTTATCTTAATTGCCAAAACAATTCACCACCACTACAAAATTCTAATACAAAGACAATAAAATTTTTGGATTCAAATGCATACTCCAATTTTATTATAAAAGGATGATCAAGCACGGTCATTATGTCTCTCTCATTTTATACAATCCCTTAAAAATTATATTCTATTTGTACCTTGCTTTTTATGTTGGATTATGAATTCTTTGTCAATCAATTTCATAGCATAAAATCTTCCATTTGATTTTTTCTTTACCATATAAACCCTTGAAAATCCTCCTACTCCTATGCATTTTACAAATATAAAATCTTTCAGAGTTATTTTACTTTATTAAGGAGTTCCATAAAATGGTTAGAGATTTAGTGTTTATCCACTAAAAATTTCTAGACTTTTATTTGCTTATTACAAATAATAATCGATTGGTAAATTCTTATCAACAGTGTGAAATGACACTATTTCCAAATCTGATGATTCATTCCCTGTTCCGCAAGTTACCTTTCTTTCGTCAGGTTAAGATCCTGTAGATGAATATTAATGAATAGAATGTTTCTTTATTTCTTATTTCAAATATTCTTCCAACCATCCTGTTGATTTTTGAGGATCTATGTTGAACTTTATTTATTGATTTTCATAATTAACAATTATTATGATCTAACTAGCTGGATTTACAAAACTAATTTTATTTGAGTTTTATGATTTTTGAGGTTAACTTGTGCCAGAAGATATTCGTTTAGATTCCTTTTATTAACTCATCACATCCGACATATTGGCTTTTTTAGTACCAGATTATAATTGTTTATGGCTTGTCATCAATTTAAGCAAATCTTATTGATACTATTTTAGATTGTTCCCTTTTTTTAATCCCATACTTTAATTTGTTTTTTGAGTTGGACTTAAAGATTAACCTATCAATCCATTAGGATTTAATGATTAACTCAATTTTTAAGATGTCTTGGTTGCAGATCTAATTATTATTCAAACATACTTCTTCAATATGCTCTAGGATACTATCTCTTACAATTATTATTGTTATTTTGATAGCATAATCAAAATTTTAAATTTTTATTAAATTTATATAATAAAAACCATTTTCTCAATTATTCAATAAAATGGAAATATATATTATGTTAAACCTTATTTTATTTTTCTGAATAATAATTGATAAATGATAATAAGGATTTGTTTCATTTATTCTCACTTACTGAAAATAGGTTATATAATAAACAAATGGAAAATTTTGATGTGTTATATCAAAGAAATCAATGTTTTTTACATTTTGCCAAACATTCTTATGAATTATCAATTTTGAATATAGGAAAATAAAAAAACCCTATGTCTATTACTTTAAATCTCAACTAAAATCATTAGTTAATTATAAGCTAAAATGTTAATAAATTAATTTTGCCTATCAAATAAAAAATAACATAGCAAAAATAAAATCATATTAATTTATAAAATAAATTTAAACATTTTTACATAACAAAGTATTTCTTTTTTTATTATGAATATGTTAACATATTATTGTTAATATTTTCAGAACATTTAATTAAAATTAGATGATTGCAAATTAAAATAACAAGATGTTTAGACATTTGATGTAATAAATATAATTAATTTAATATGATTTTACTTGTAAATGTATATATTTATATTCTAAATTTATGTAATATAATTGAAATTATAATATTTAAGAAACCATTTATCATCACTAAAATCTATATATTATTATATAAATATGTAATAATATATATAAAGAATTTCAAAATATTGGGATCACATATTAATTTTTACTATACAACTGTGCTTTCAAAGTAGATAGGAGAAAATTGGAAGCCATAAACTTCTAAAAAATAAATGTATAAAAATCATAATTTTTCTTCCAAAAAATAGAAGGAACTGATAATGTACTAATTATGTAATATATTAAGTCAACTAATTAGAACTTGGAAATAATATTCAAAAAATATTGTTTCGTTTTTGATTAGCACTTGTATCGTTTTTAACTACTTTTGATTACAAATTTTTCTTTCTTATTCCTTTTATATTTACATTTTATAATTAACGTTTAGAATATTATTGTAATGTCACTTAAATTAAATTTCATTAGAATATAGTCAGATACTACATTATAATTAGTTTTGGGTTTGATTGAATAATGATTATTATTTCATTCTATTGAAAAATTACTTTTGTGATTAATAGTGTTAGTTTATTTATTAATCGATTTTTAATGGGGGTATTAAATGTTAATATAATCTAATTCCTTCAAAAATTAAAAAAATGAAGGAAAGTTTAACGGGTTCAAGCAGGATAAAGGTTGCCTTTGGCATCTCTATTCTTAGATTTAGAAAAAAAAATAATAAAATCGAATTAAAAAAAGAAGATATTGATTAAATAAAAGTGAAGACTAGTGTTGAGAAATAATTTTATCTCTAACAAAAAATATTCGATCAAACAAAAATTATAATGTAGAATAGGACTATATCAATATTTATCTTCATTATATATTTTAAACACTAACGGCTATAAGAAATTATTAATATATTCAATTTGTAAAGATTCATCTCATATCTTTTAGAAAAAGTTTTCATTTCATTAACCTAGAATATAACTGGTGTTAAATAAAAGTATTCAAAATTATAAATTATTACGTTATTATTTCAAGAAATGATTACTTTCCTTTCTGTAAATTTTATCTTCGACATACTAATATATTTTATGAAGTATAATAGAAATCAGATTACTGATTTTATTTTTGGATACTGAGAATATTTTTTATTTAAATACAATTAAAAAATGTTATTATTGCATTTAAGTTATTAAAAATTATATAAATATNTATTAATTTATAAAATAAATTTAAACATTTTTACATAACAAAGTATTTCTTTTTTTATTATGAATATGTTAACATATTATTGTTAATATTTTCAGAACATTTAATTAAAATTAGATGATTGCAAATTAAAATAACAAGATGTTTAGACATTTGATGTAATAAATATAATTAATTTAATATGATTTTACTTGTAAATGTATATATTTATATTCTAAATTTATGTAATATAATTGAAATTATAATATTTAAGAAACCATTTATCATCACTAAAATCTATATATTATTATATAAATATGTAATAATATATATAAAGAATTTCAAAATATTGGGATCACATATTAATTTTTACTATACAACTGTGCTTTCAAAGTAGATAGGAGAAAATTGGAAGCCATAAACTTCTAAAAAATAAATGTATAAAAATCATAATTTTTCTTCCAAAAAATAGAAGGAACTGATAATGTACTAATTATGTAATATATTAAGTCAACTAATTAGAACTTGGAAATAATATTCAAAAAATATTGTTTCGTTTTTGATTAGCACTTGTATCGTTTTTAACTACTTTTGATTACAAATTTTTCTTTCTTATTCCTTTTATATTTACATTTTATAATTAACGTTTAGAATATTATTGTAATGTCACTTAAATTAAATTTCATTAGAATATAGTCAGATACTACATTATAATTAGTTTTGGGTTTGATTGAATAATGATTATTATTTCATTCTATTGAAAAATTACTTTTGTGATTAATAGTGTTAGTTTATTTATTAATCGATTTTTAATGGGGGTATTAAATGTTAATATAATCTAATTCCTTCAAAAATTAAAAAAATGAAGGAAAGTTTAACGGGTTCAAGCAGGATAAAGGTTGCCTTTGGCATCTCTATTCTTAGATTTAGAAAAAAAAATAATAAAATCGAATTAAAAAAAGAAGATATTGATTAAATAAAAGTGAAGACTAGTGTTGAGAAATAATTTTATCTCTAACAAAAAATATTCGATCAAACAAAAATTATAATGTAGAATAGGACTATATCAATATTTATCTTCATTATATATTTTAAACACTAACGGCTATAAGAAATTATTAATATATTCAATTTGTAAAGATTCATCTCATATCTTTTAGAAAAAGTTTTCATTTCATTAACCTAGAATATAACTGGTGTTAAATAAAAGTATTCAAAATTATAAATTATTACGTTATTATTTCAAGAAATGATTACTTTCCTTTCTGTAAATTTTATCTTCGACATACTAATATATTTTATGAAGTATAATAGAAATCAGATTACTGATTTTATTTTTGGATACTGAGAATATTTTTTATTTAAATACAATTAAAAAATGTTATTATTGCATTTAAGTTATTAAAAATTATATAAATAT